AACACTTTACAAAAACTAGTTCTGAAGTTCTTTGGAAAATAGTTATTTTTCATACATTTAAGAAACAAATTTGGAGTTGCATAGTGTCGTATGGTAAGGCAAGTGATCGAATTTGAAAGTGAAACTCAATTCTGTGCTTTAATCGTTGCCTCTGGTAAGCTGACAGTTTGGGATGGGGGTGTATCTGGTGAGAATGGATAGGACCAAATGCTGTGTTCTGTAGGAGAAAAATACAGATCCTAAATACAAGCATGTATTTCTCTCTTGCTTTTGTGAGAAGATAGGTTCTTTTTCTTAACCTTCTCAATGCATTAGGTTTTCATGGAGACAGTCAAAGAGGAAGGAGGAGGAGTAGAAGGAATGGTGCAGTTTTGAGAGTTGTAAATAGGATAAAGTGCTGATTAAGTAATGTATCAAAAATCCCTGCTTCTTTCTTGTCAGGAAGCAGTCTGGAGATAAACCTATTAGCCAAGATTCTACCTTTGTGTTACCTAGATAGGATTACAAAAGATGGCAGGTTCAAATCTCAGGCTACAGTCCAAGCATGTTCTTTTTTATATTACTGATCTTCAGTCCTAAACTTTATATTCTTCCAGCAAAATGTGATATTTCTTTTGAATGGAGAAAAGTGAGTAAGGAAAATCATGTAAGTGCAAGAAGTCTATTCCACAGGCTAGTGGAACAGCCCTACCATTCATTACACTTGTCCTAAGCTGTTGCTTCTCAGGGTGAGTAAACTATTCACTGGCATTTTACAGGACTTATTTTAAAGCTGGTCCAAATTCTGAGATTAGATGTCCCAAGAAAATAGATCTGTGGTCCAAATTAAAGATACTTCGGTGTCTGAAAAAAAATCAGCACTTTATAAGTGGAATGCTTAAGCAATAATTTTAGAGTATCTTATTTCAAAAACTGTGCTGCTTGTATATTGACATAGCACTCCTGTTAATGTGCTAACTAAAGCCTTAGATTATGTAAACATCCAAGCGGTTCTGAACTTGTGTCTATGAGTGGTGTGATTTCTGCAGCTCTGGAGAAGAGTTAGATGTAAGTCATCACTGTAACCTTATTGACAAAAGGTTATTTTTGTGCTGAGTTGTTGCTTCTGATCTCTTTCTGGGGATCTAATTAACACACAGGACTACACACAATTCTGTGCAGAACTGGTTTTTTTTGTTGTTGTTTCTTGTGAACAGAGAAAAGGCATGGATTAACAGACATCTGATGTTCTTGCTGTTTTGGGCTAATACCTTCTTTATACATTTTATAACAGGATGGGAGAAGAGGCTTCTGTTCTCATCTGCCAGGTGTTATGGTGCTCTGCTGTCACTGAACACTTTAGCCAGGTCACCTTCAGGGGATTTGCCAGTACGAGTTCTGAACACTTCAGCTTTTCCTCTTATGTTACTTTAGTGAGCAAATTTTCAAATTGGGAACTTCTCCATGCAGTCTTTCTGATGGTAGTGGAGTAGAATCTACAAGAAAATGTCACTGTTCAATGCAAGTTCAGTGTTTGTTGTTCAGGGATTTCAAAGTTAAGTTTTCTTCTCCCTTTCTATTCTCTGATGGCATTGTTACTATTATTTGGATTTTTTCCCTTCTTTTTAGCCCCTTCTGCAGTCACAAACCCATCCTCTAGAAAAGAAGCACAGAACTTTCTGTATTCAATGATGATGTATACGGGATTAGCTGCAGGAATGCTGTCACATCCAAGAATGTCCAGCCTGTGTATGGTCGTTAGGGGCCAACCTGATGCTGGCTGGGGTGGTTTTCGAGGGTTTTTTTGTTGTTGTTTTGTTTTTCTTTAATTTTAGTCCTACACTGGTTGTGCCTTCCCTGGTCTACTTTCACCAGAAGACTAGGTAGAACACTGATAACACTCTATCAGAGTTAGGGATTTTTGCTTTTAGCATGCTGAGAGCTCACTATTAAACACTTCTTTACCTCAATTTTTGCCAAAATATGGAGTGTAGGTGTAAATCCAGTTTCCCATAAAGTGTAAGAGAATGGCAGCTGCTGTTAGATGCATAGTCTAATGGTTTTTGAAATATAAAAGAGAACTTATAAGCAATATGGAATAAAAGGCTATGTACAATGACTTGTTTCTTGGGAGCCTTGCACAATGCACAGGTGTTCTCCCAATGAAAAAGTCAACTATATAAGGAGATGGCTCAGCTCTGATGTTGCAGTTGATTGCAGCGGGGAGTGTACATTCTGTGTTGTAACTGCTAATTGAGTCTGGGGTTTGCCTAATTTTAATTAATTTTGATACCTGATCTTACTGCTAAATCACAGAATGGGTCAGGTTAGGAATGGGTCATTTGGTCAAACCTCCCTGCTCAAGCAGGGTCGTCCTAGAGTACATGGGACAGGATTGTGTCCAGATGGTTCTTGAATATCTCCAGTGTGGGTGACTCCACAGTCTCTCTGGGCAACTGTTCCAGTGCTCAGTCACCCACACAGTAAAGAACTGCCTCCTAATCCGGTGGAACTTCTGGGCATCAGTTTCTGCCATTTGCTTCTTGTGATATTGTTCTGCATCACAAAGAAAAGCCTGGCTTCGTCCTTTTGACACCCTTCCTTCAGATCCTCACAGACATTGACACAGTCCCCTCTCAGTCTTCACCAGCCTAAACAGGCCCATCTCCCTCAGCCTAGTCTCTTAAGTGATGTGATCCACTTATCTTTGTTGCCCTCTGCTGGAATGGTTCCAGGAGCTCCATGTCTTGTTCTGAGGAACCCCGAACTACTCTTCCCCAGGTTGAATTTTTGTTAAATTTCCTCTTTGCCCATCCCTCCACTCCACTGAGATCCTTCCAAAGGGCTGCACAGCACTCTGGGGTACTGGCTGCTCCTCCCAGCTTTGTGTCGTCACTTGCTGAGTGATGCTTGCTGAGGAGGCATCGTGCCAGCCACCACTGCAAACAAGAGACTGATAAGTCAGTTCTAAGCTGTATGTACTGTAATTCTGTTGTTTGCGCTTTACATACTCTGGCAGCTTTGCCACTTAGGACCTGGACCAAATGTGGATGTTAAAAATCTTACCGTTTTATACATGTCCACATTCTAACTACTCCATTCAAATACTAGAATAAATTTTTATAAAATAGATATTTGAGAGACCTTCAGGTAAAACTCTGGCAACAAAGTCAAGTATCACAGCCTTAATTATTCTGAACAGTAAATACTGTAATGTGTTAAACTTACAAATAAAGGCTTTAGGATTTTAATATATCTTGTAGCCTTATCACTTACAGATACAGTTGGGTATTGCAGGACTTTTTGAGTGGATACAGAATTGTTTTGGAAGTGGATGCAGTACAATACTCAAGGACAAACTTTTTATCTTCCTGTGGAGTGATTTGAGCTTTTCCTGTTCAACCATTTCAACAGCAGTAATTCTTGGAGCTACCTTCACTAAAATAGGCTTTAAAAATCTGAATTGCATCTCTGGCTTATGAAAATTCCTTGTTTTGGTCAGATATTTGTAGACATCAAATTTCTATGCATTAATAAGCTATAAAGAGAAACTGTATTTCAATAGCAAGAGAATACCTCAATAGAAAGAACTGTGTTCTTTAGTCTTCAGAAACAGAATAAATTTATCTGAATAACCTTAGGAAAAGACTTAGTCCTTGCCTGAATTCGGTTGTGTTTCTGTTTGACCCGTAAGGTTTCATTAGCTTCCTTACAGAATGATTTGTATTAAAAGACTAATACATCTTATTTTAACATTTAACATTATTTGATTTGTTGCTTTCAAGTGCTTTACTGGCAATTTAAATAATATGCGTAAATTTGAATGTTTATTTTATCTTCTGATGCCCACGCTCTGGCACCTCTCTGAATTCAGGGTTTATAGTACACTTGACTCTAGATCTTTGGCATATTTTTCGTGTGTCTTAGTACCATCATAAGCTGACCTACTTTAAACTCATCCAGCACATGTTCCTCCCTTACGAAATGAATTGTCAACAATTTACCTGTCCTTGGATAATTTTTCAGTCACTGTGGTGTTTACCTCTGGCTGCACTACAGTTTAAGGGTGACCTGCCAACCTAAAAGCTGCACTCAGCCTTCAACCTGCAGCCAGAAGCAGCCCCTGGCCTTGGCTGTGTTTGTGATCTACTTGAGAACTCTTGTCTGCAGTTCAGGGCAGTGTCCATACAAAAGCATTAAGTTAGCTGGTCAACAGTGATGACATTCTTACCTTCATTGCAAAGGCTATTCCCACTTTGTTGCTGCGGTTTTATTGTTGGTTTGTGTCATTAAACATCTTTCATGCTGTGAACCCATGCCCTGGCTTGCTTCTGTCTTCAAAGAACGTGGTTCCCTGCCTTCCTTGCTAATTTTATAAAGAGCTTTCCTTCCCTGCCTTCCTCCTTTTACTTTTTGTTTCTCCTTTTTTATTTTTAATGATACCATGTTGTTGTGCTCTCCAGCTAATTAATTTTATTTCTCAGTTTTCTAAAATCCATTACCAGTTTACCACATTTATTTCTTGTATAGAGTTACCAATACAAGCAGCTGGCAAATAGTTTTCCTTCTGTACTTCAGATGGTGATCTGTAAAGAAGTTTGTTTGATCCCATTGCCTTCAGTGTCCTTTAGAGGCACATTTTGATACTAAAGAGCAGCCTGAACTTAATGAGGCCTTTCAGTTTAGTTACGTTCATCTGTGTCCTATTTCAAATTGCAGTGGGCCAAATAATTTGCAGCAAGGCTACAAGAAAACAATGTAGTTAATTGAGAAGTCTTTTCATCTTTTTTTTTTTTTTCTCATTTACTGAAAAAAAACAGGGGTATAACATGCTCCTATATAATTAACACAATTGACGAGAATCTCAGTTTTTTAGTTATCAGCTGTAAATTCCTCCACAACTGCAGCTGCTAGATTCAAATATTGGAGTAGGGGAGATAAAAGAATCCCTTGATCTCGGTGACAAAGTGACTCTTGAGTAAATTAAGAACTCTTACAAAAATCAGGAAAGCAATAATTTGTTTCATTTTCTGGTGTGAAATAACATTTCATAACACCTAAGTGTTTATTTGAAGGTGTTTCTCATTAGCCTGATAATGCCACAAATACATACAGTACACTGTAAGCAGTAATAGTTAATGCAAAATTCCAAGGACTAAAAGACACATCACAGAGGGCTGCTAAGTGAAGGCTTAATAAAGAAAATGTTAATATATTAATATTTTAGTTGTAAAGCCAGTTGCAAGGAGTTGCATACAACACAAAGACAGTGCTTTGAATTTGCATATCTTGCTCTTCTGCATTTATTTCTATACATGTCTAGTTGAACACAATATCATCATATACAATTTTACTTTTTAAAGCTGTACAGTAACATTGCCCATTTTCAGACAGCTTTTTTGGCAGAATATTTGTGTGTTTTCATTGTAACTTTGCAGCATGTTTCCTTAGTTTGAGAAAGCCCATTGAAATTCTCCTTTAATGCCATAAAGTTTACAGGCTATGTTCAAAATACAAAACACTTCTAAGAGTGTGGTTAAAATCAGGGCTTTAATTTATTAAAAATTCATAAAGATTAAAAATCAGAAGGCTAGATTCTCAGCAGAATATAAATTATACTTCTTTTTATTTGAATTGAGCTATAGTGATTTATCAAATTGAGGATCTGGCCTTTCCAGTATAACATTAAGATAAACCTTGCTGTTAAGAATTATTTGTTCAAAGGCAGCAGATCCCTTCAGAGGACAGTAATAATACTGAAGTTTACATATTCACTTTTTATAAATTGTTCACAGAACAGAATGAAAAGCCATTCCAGAAAAGCAGACTGAATAATAAAATCTAATGATTCTAAATTGAGGTATATTTATATAATACAGTTCTTTCTCTAGGTCTGTACTTGAAGGAGTAGTGTGAAATGCAATCTAAGTAAACTTACATTACTACCACTTTGCTCTACTAGAGTTCAATTCTGCACTGTCTCCAAGCACATAAAAGCAGCCATGTGAATTACATTTTTAACTGCTGGCTTTAAATAAGAGTTGCAGCCTAATATGGCTGGCCACCTTTTTAGTGAGTTTCAAGGCATTCCGAATTTTGAATATTTTTCAGTGGTTTACTTCTGAACTGTTGATTATGTAAACTATTACTCCTGTTCTTAAAAATATCTGAATTCTTCAATGGGATTAAACTTTCTGGTGAATGGTGAATCAGTCCCTTTCTTAAATTAGTATTGCCACACTCCATTCAGGTTGGCAAATACTAAACGGGAGATTTTGTGTGAGGATAAAAAACACCAGTTGGTTATGGTTAGTTTATTTTGATTAACGAAATTTGGAAGAAATACTCTCTGTAACAGTTCCTTTATGGGCATAGCTTTCATTTACTTACTCATTCAGAGTGATGTTTTTGTACATGATTTCTGTAAGTGATTTGATATTCCCTATTCTCTCTACTGGGTATGTACCTCACTCCCACTCAAATAAAACATTTTCATGTAGGAAAATAGGCTGAAGAATCAGGGATTTAATCACCTTTAAAATTTTACCTGTATATCTTAACTAGGTGGATTGGAACAGGGGTAAGATACAAACAAACTTGATAACAAAACAAGAGTAAACTGCCTCGTGTACCTTTTGTTACAAAGGGGTGTTTTAGCACAAAGGCTGTGTGAGCATTGTTACATTCCTTAAAGTTTTGGTCACAGAATCTACTGAACTTTCAACACTGGTTGAGAATTGAGTACAAATGGGATGCATTCAGATGCAGCAGCGACAACTGCTTATTAATGGATTTTTTTTTTCAAGATCAAAACTTCATTTGTCCCTTGAGCCAGGGTGTCCATTTGTTAGTTTTACTTTGCTGTAAAGAGTATTAGTAGGAGAATATGCAAAATATTTGTTCTAACCTCTTGTGAAGAAAAAAGCAAAGAATATACATAATATGTCTGAAGGCAAATGAGGTCTACAAAAATAAGCGTTGACTGCTTCACCAGTGAGGCTAACAGTAACACATCTTCAGCCTTGTGTAAGAGTACTTTGGAATTTCACATCTTAGGAAAAGAACTATTATCCTGTCCAATAAATAACTATGGAAAGGTACAAAGTAAGGAATAATTATATACAGCATTGATAAAACAACCACCATATTGACTTAATGAAATATAACAGCAGATATTAACTTTCTTTAGTGTAATGTCTTAAAATTAGTAATAACTAGTTCTGCTTGGATCTTAACTTACACAATTGCACAGTTCCCTTTCTTTGGATTATTTCTTTAGGCCACAGACCACTTCCATTCTTCATCTGATGAAAAGATGTCATTCCAGACTGTGTAAGATTACATCATCTGGATCCTTGCTGCCGTGCAGGTATTTCAGCCTGCCAGAAATACAGCTTCATCAGAGTCCTTGCCACTGTCTTCACTAGGCAAGCAGCCACCCCCACTTGGGGATCTACAGCTTAAGTCCTCCACACCGGACTCCTGGTCACTGTTGGCTGAGAGGTCAGGATCAGAGCTTTTCAGGTTGTCCTGTGTCAAAATTAGGGCGGAATCTTCATCTCCTTGCGAAGGGCTCCGGGATGGGAATGATTTCAGATCATTGCTATACTCCTGAGGAGTGTTAGCTAAGCTGTTGTTGGAAGTATACAGTCCAAACTGTTTGTTTCGGTCTTGCTGCTTACTCTTGACTTTATTATTACCTGACTGTGATTTCTGAAGATTTGCCAATCTCTGAAATAAAGGAAATAGGATTTATCATGTGGACATATTTAGGGTCCAGAAATCCTCTTATATGTCCTTGCTTTTTTTCTTTTTAAATAAATTTATAGAGCCCAACCCACCCTTTAAGACTATTTGCATTTATGGAGTATGAGAAGTGCACAATTTGTCACACACCAATGCTGAATTACAGCATTCTTCTGAGCTACAATTCCCTCTGAGTTACAGAAGGATTAAACTTACTTTCAGTAGTACTTGTGCATCAACACAGGTAAAATTTTATCCTTAAAGAAAAAAAAGTCCACTTTTGTGTCTTAAAAGCAAAACATTCACAATAATTTATATGAGAACAAAGATGATGGCTGAACATCCTCCTTCCAGAAAAGGATGTAGTGTGGAGGGGACTCTGCAGCATATGGAGCTGGGTTTCATTTATCATCAGTTACCAAGTCTGCCGTATCAAGCTCAGCTGTTTATTACCTCTTGTAAGACTTCCAGCTCTTCTTCCAGCTGCTGAGTTTCTTCCTTCACTGCCATCAGATAATCAGTAACTGACTGTCGAGGATGCAGCCCCTTTTCAAAGCGGTTGTACATACCACTCCAGAACCTGGAATTGACAGCACGGTCAAGAATTTTCCCATTTGGTGAAGTAGCCTCATAGGACTGAAATGTACACTTCTTTATTTTTTCTTTTTTTTTTTTTTACCCAGACACATAGTGTCCTAAATGATCTATCCATGCTTATTCATCATTAGAGTGCATACACGTAAGTTCATAGACTGTTTAGCAAGGTTGATGGTTCATTTGCATTTCCTCCATCCTGATGGTGCAATTCATAGGCAGCTGGACATAAGCAGCTCAAACTAATTCTGATAGACAATAGAAAGGTGAATGTAATTTAGGTCACAACTTAAAAAGGTTCACTGAATGCAAAAATTTGCAGGGTCTTTTTCTGGTATTATTTTCTTGCTCTACACTGTGGGCTTTAGTGCAATGATACCTATAAAATAGCCAGTGGTAAAGACAGTTTTTCATATTTGTAATTTTCAACTGTTGTTCAACTTCCCACAAACTCAACTTTGAAATTCCGTGTTCCTTAGGTGCTCCTCCTGCCTTGCTGGCAATAGGGCCACAGGCAGGCCCTGAGTGTGTAACCAGTTCAGCAGACAGGTTAAGTAGCCAAGCCCTGCTGTCTGGCAGCTGACTGGCCAAGGAGCTGACAGATATTTTTGGAGCACGTGCATGCTGCTTGGTGGCTTATTATTCCTATCCCAATAGTATACTATTTAAATCACATTCCCCCTTATCATCTGGTAGCTCAAGCTTGGAAATCTTTACGCACCCAAGTAATTAGATTAAAATCAACAGGATTACTTATCCACTGGAGGATCTGCTGTATCAGTAATTCTTTTATAAATCCCAGTATCCCAAAGAATACGATTAATAACTATTTTTAAATTGTTTTAAAGTGCATGTGACCTGGTATAGTAGACATGAAAGAATTTAATTTCTGTCATTTAGCATTTTTATTGTCTTTTTAACAGGTGCCATTACTTGCAACTGGTAAACAAACTATCAGTTTTATTTAAATGACAGTTTTAATGCATTTCTATTCAAGTTCTCCCAAGTGTGTTAAGACAAATGGCACAATTAATTAACTCAGAATGTCAATAGTAACATTTCTAAAGTGATGGTATTTTGTTATATTTTGAAAAAATATCAGGAAAAACTTAACTTCATTTTACCTGATGTAACAACATAGGGAAAGTCTGGAGTTTTTTTACAAAATACTTGTTTTAGCAATGAAATAATATGATTTCTTGAAAAGATCCTTTTTACTTTTAACTCCAATTAATCCAAACTAACATCACAAAATCTTGGAATGGAAGAAGTTAAAGCAATTGTAAATTTAGAAACAACAGATGACAACAGGACTGAAAGAGGCATTTCTCAGTGGAAGAAGTGAGTAACCTTGAAATTAGGACACACAACTATCAATATAGCTTTAATCTTAATCTTCTTTTCAGACTAATACTCTGCTGTGGAATGGTGCAGAGGTGTTGGCTGACTATAAGCACACAAGGAACAAACATACTGCATCTGAGACTGAATTTATTCTCTATAAACGGCCTTACTGAAAAAGAAATACTTATATACAAAGGCATTATGTTCTGTACTAACCCATGCTGTATTTCCCAGCAGCAAGTGATGCTACCTACTTGTACAAGAAGTTGCATGGAGCGATCTGTGGGTGCAGGGTCCCTTGGGTTTGACTATGGTCTGACCTGTATAAAGGATTCAGGTAATCAGCACGATTTTTCCACAAGTGAGCCCACAATGAATATGTTCGTTCTTTGATTCTGAAAAATAATACATTAAATAAAAATACATTAAAGCCTCTATTACAGTTCAGGGATAGCTAAAGCTTAGATGCAGCATTTTTGTCCTCCATACTTCCAATCAGCTTCCTTAACAGAATTAGACTTCAGTTACAAGCATAGAGAAACAAAGACCCAAATTCCCTTGTTGGTCACTAAAAACAAAATCTAAACCATTTCCCATAAAGCAAGAACAGCTAGAGCAAATAGGTGGAGAGACTGGTTCCTTTGTGAGGTGAGAGGATATTTTCCATAAAGTCAGCTTTCAGACTGATCTCTGCGCCAAAGGGATCCCTGCATTTAAAAGCACTCCTATCCCACTGAGCTGCAATTTCTTGCATACACAGTTAGGTCTTGGGATGTGGTGATCTGTGAAGGTTTTGATTTTAAATGGATGTTCACTGTGGCTGCTCTGCATTTGAGCAGTGAAAGGGACCAAATGGCAGCAGCCAGCAGTAACCAGCACCTCCTCTCATTGCTACGGCTGACATCATCAGGCTGCTTGAGAAAAGCAATGGATATCATCATGATCAAGGACCCAGGGCCCTGGGAAGCAGATACACACATAAGCACTGCCAGGAATGATGATGCTGTCTTTGTTTGGACCTCAGGGCAGGTAGCTTAACTCAATTGCTTTGGGGCCGGTCAGCAGAAGGACAGCCTGCTGTCTCAGTCCTAGGGAGAGCTACCAGACAAAAAGACTATTCATAAGGAAGTACCTAAGAAAGCAGGACTAAAATGCCCTGACATGAGATCCAAAGACAGGTTAAAAACATAGAGGAGCAGTAATTCTTAAACTGAGAACTTAACTAGAGTTACTGTTATTTCATACTGGAGTTACAGGGCCAGCTTGCCTTGTATTTTGTCAGGGCTGCAGTAAAAGGCAGGCCCACATGGCTGAAGGCTTAATGCTTTTGTGAATTTTCACTAATCCCCTGTCACGCACACCATGGATTATACTCCCAGCAAAGCTACACTGCAGAGGATCAACTTTTTTTGGTATTAATCGGTGTTGCCAGAAGACAACAGGCACCCTGTGCCTTATGAAACACATACATGCAAACTGGAGAATGTCTGACTGCTCACCACCAGCCACAGACCCCATGCATAAGTATGCTACTAAAGAAAACATTTTCATACTTCAGCTCTCTTCTCTCTTTCTGGCTGTTACACAGGAAATTCCCAAACTGGCAAGAATAGATGTGATGCTGTATGTGGATGAGGAATCTTTCATTGAATTCAAAGGCACAAGGAAACTGTTCCATTAACTGCCAAACACATTCAATGAACTGATCAATAACAGGCGATATCTCCTTTGGATCTCCATTTAAGTTGCCATACCTGAAACAAGACAAGATACATCCAATTATAACCTGAATTCCTGTAAGAAAACTGAATTAACTAAACCTCAAAACCTCTCTAAATCTTTCTACTGTGTAGTACATCATAGGCATTCATTTCTAAAGTCTGAACTATTACTATATTTTTCCTTTGAAAAATGGTGCAAGAATCGTGAAGTAGAGGCAGAATTACAAACAAAAAAGCCTCTTTTATTGGGTGTCTTGTTATATTAAAGCTGCAAAAAGCTGGCTGCTGCATAGCCATGTTTTAATGCTATCAGTATAAATTGTACCCTCATAACATAAGTTATCAGAAGAATGACTTAATGACAAAAGCGTGTCTTAAGACAGTTTCTTAATAGTAGATTATTCCCCAAACCAGAAAACTGAGCAGGAGAGCTACCTGCTCTCATTATAACCTCAGCAGAAAACAGGTTAAAGCTGCCCTCTCTTGGTGAAATTTCTAGGAAGTGGGAAATGTATACATGCTACTGTGACTGTCAAGTGAACTTGAAACTTTCTGTGTATAAAAATGCCTCTTGGAACCACTTGCAATGACTAAAAGGAGACCGAAAATAAAATACACATTGAAGTAAAAGGTATTTTATAAGTCTTCGTAATAGGAAGAAGCATTTTCAATCAGTTATTCTCCTAGGAGGGGTGGGGTGTATGTGCTTTATATTTACACATGGCAACAGAGTAGAATTTTATAAACATCTAAAATTGAAACTTCTATTACCATCAAAGAAAATACAGCAATATTGCACAGCAAACCAAAGCTATTAGTGGTTACGGCATTTCATAATACCTTTTGCCACTGATAATCATAAACAACTGACAGTATCATATTAACTGTAGTAATTCCTATGGAATTACACAAGTGCTGTGATGATGCACAGGTTTTCTGAGTTTTGTTAGTTTTTTAAACAAATTTATATTCAAATCAAGCAATATAATGTAATTAAACCTCAATATAAAAATTGCATTTTTAATTTTTACAGAAAATAGAAGTCATGAAAGAAAGAAAATGTGAAAATGTATCCATGTTTAAATATATTAAGTCTTCAAATATTTTCATTATATTATAGCATGTACATTGGATTGATGTTCAAAATAACTTGTTCAAATAAATTACTTTCCACTTTGCCTGAGATTTCTGAGCAGATCTTGCTGTTTTTTACAACAGACTGTAACAGGAAGAGAAAGACTATTTTATGTAATAGATAACTCACAGACATGCCTAAGATTAAGTACTGCCATGGAAGATGCAGAAGTCCCTTTGATGAACAGCAACTTATGTGGGGGGCCTTGGCACTCCTAGGAGATCTGCTGGAGTCCAAAGGGATTTTGCAAGCCAAATACACACTACTCACACGGACCTCTCAATGCTCATAGCAGCTGCAAGACCAGCACACAGGACTCCCCTTAGTAGTTTTGGAGTGCATATATAGAAATATTTCACTCTGACTTTTCCAGGCAGCTAAATTATATAGTTGGAGAAAAGGGTATGGCAGTTTCCTGGGGCATTCTGTTGCTGTGTTTTGAAAGACAGCAACAAAGAAGAGCTGGAATGGCAGCAGATACAGACTACATAAATATATACATATAGAGAGAGGAAAACCTTAGCATTGCCTTACCTGTGGTTAAATTTGTGGCCAAAGGAAACCCAGTCTTTTTCAATTAACACCTAAAATGAGAATATTGCAGTCAATATTGTGGAGTGGAGCTGACATGTTGAAGCAGGCAGAAGGGTGGTGTAAACAAGAAGTGTTGGAATCCCAGTTAATTCTTAGAATTATCAGAAAAGTGGCAAGCAAGAACAATGTGAGCAAGCAATATTAGAATCCTAAATAATTTTCAGAATTGGCAGAAAAATAATGAGCACTGCTTGCCAGCTCGGGGAAATAGCACTCTTCATGGATGCAGAGAGTGCCAGTATTTCAGCACAATTTCAAATATCTTGTTTCATTGCTTTCTAAAATAGAACTTATAAATGTCTCAACATGTTTTTAACATGTGACCAGTAACTTGATAACCACTTCTAGATGCTTTACTACTGCTGATTGACCTGGGAAAGGAACAGATTTTCCAACAGAGCTTCTCACTGCAATCTAACGTCTAGAAAAGCCACACTTCTGACACTCAAAATTAAAATGCTCACTGCAAATGAATACAAATTCTTGCTTTCACAGAAGCTCTTTGGGCTGTGAGAAAGTCTCTTGGTCAAGGTTAGAAAAAAAACCCAAAAACACACGTGACAAACTGATCCCCACCTTGAATAATGTTTCATAGAGAAACTGGGAGACTTTAACATGAACATATAGAAGCCTTCCCTCCTACTTAAAAAAGCAAAACAAAACAAAACAAATGGTATATTTAAGGACCGTTTATTTCCTATTTAAAACAAAGATATTAATTTGAAGTGATGCCATACTACTTCATTTACTCTGCAAAAGAACCCGCTTACCATGAATCCCTTCATAGTTCTGTAATATGGATCCAACAGAAGGCTTGCTACAGAGCAAACCTGGGCTGTCCTATCCCAGCCATCAGAGCAGTGAACAAGCACACTCACACCTTCCTCAGCCACAGCCTAAAGATACAGAAAAAGTCAGAAAGTTCACAAGCAGGGAGGAAGACAATGGTAAGAGAGAAACAGTGAGACAAGAGCCACAGAGAGAGTATTAATTTGGGAGCTGGGAAAGCTCATTCATTTTCTACTCTACCACAGAGCTCTAAAATAAAGTTGAGTGTTATTTGTCTCATTTGAAAAATCAGTGTTACTACTCTAGGTTGAAAAGTTTTCATTCACCTCAGATCATGCAATATGGTGGCTGAGAATTACCTGCTTATGCTCCACTACAGGAAGGTGTGATTCATTTCAGTTAAAACACATCAATCTGTCAGAGCAGACAACTACCTGCAGCAGATTCAGATGCTCCAACATCTCATGCCACTTACATGCCACTAAAAGCATAGCCATACTTGCAATATGGCTCTTAATTTTTCATCTTGATGGTAACGTCATTAAGGGCAATGTCTGTTTCTGATGCCATCATTAGCCTGGGCATTATTCCAGCATGCTGCATTGCACTGGTGACATGCTATAAAGGCTTCTGGGAAATACTGTGGCAGTGGGAAACTTCCATGTTTAATAAGCAAGATTTTATCGGTATCTTTAATGTAGTAACTGGGGAGAGAGGATTCTATTTTATACATAAACACATAAAGAAGAAATTGTACTGAATTCTCCAGAGTGTTGTATTATTTTTAGAACTTGAGGGTTGGCAGGGTTTTTTTTTTTTCATTCTAAGGGTTTTAGCCTTTATAATTTCTAAAGAGAATTGAATTTAGGAAGTAGAAAAGAAAGTAGGTTAGGAAAAATACTGTTAGGAAAAAAAAAGAAAAACATTTAGGTTAATTTTGGGCTTAATAGGGAATGAGGAATAATAATAAATTATCTATGTTTATCTCAAGAGATAAAAATAGAACCCCTGTGGGCAGAAGACTGAGAACTGAGAACCATACAAATAAGAATGGATCAAAATGTATGTCTGAGAATGCACTAGGCTAGCAAACATATGCACGAAGGATGATCGAAGGATGATAAGACTAGCCACTGGGGAAAAACTGGCCAAGCTAATGTAAATTACCTTATTGCTATGAGCTAATGAAAAGTAGTAGGTCTGGTAGTAATAATACAGGTATTTATTGCACAGTTGCTGTTCAGGCAAGAAACTACAGTTGCCTACTGAGAAGAACGAAGCAATACAAGAGAAACAAGCAGTTAGTGAGGAGGGAAACCCATGAAGTTTTATCTGTATAGTTGTGGGCACTAAGTCACATGAATAAAATGGCCAATAAGTAATTGTAACCAAAAGGCAGAGCACAAGGTAGGGGGTATCAAAATTAAAGCTACTGCTGGCAGATTACAAATGTCTACATTACTTTGGGGGAGAGTAGGGGAAATAATTTCTTACTAAAGCCAAAATTGTTTTCTGGAAGAATTCTCTAAAAGTAGAAAGCAGCTAGAGAGTTTGACCATGGTAATACACAGGAGTTGGTTCAAGAGCTGAAATTGGTTGGTTGCCTGATAACTCAGGGGGGATAACACAGTAGCTATATATTGTGTATAATATAAGGTATTATATATTATATATAGCTATATGTATATATTACAACTACCACTTCCACAAAGAAAATGTCCAGAAATGAGTGGAGGAGGCAAGGCAAATAGGGAAAGAAACAGTAACAATCACTGCTGGGGAGTAAACTAAGGACATTCAAATGTCTGGCATAACAAGACACAGGCTAGTAGAGGCTTTAGTACAAAAGAACACAAGATTTTGTTTACTATTTTAGAAAAATGTTGACACAACAGCACCTAAAAATCATCTTTCCTCATACACAAAAGGCCATCTTGCAATGGGCTTTTTTCAGGTAAAACATCACTGAAGAGATAATAGAAGCTACCCATAAGCAGAGAATTTGGTTCTCATTTTCTGTATCTGCTTACTCCAAGTTTCACTCTCAGTTCACACACTTTACCTTTGCAATGAAAATGCCAGCGTCCATAATGGCTTTGATGTGCTTCAGCCAGCCTGAATTTTCTAGGCCCCACAGAAAGTCACTCATTGAAGGTGATTTCAGCTCACAAACTGCAAAGTAAGATACATTTTAAATGTATAGTAATTAGAGTCCCTTAAGCTTCACTGACTTGTTCAGCCTTGGAGTTATCTCTTCTTCAGTTATCCACTGCATAAAACACGCATCTTTTGAAAAGAAGGACAAAATCTCTGTCAAATTTAACCTTTGAGGAACACATTTATTTGAGAAATGGGGCTGAGTTAAATTTCACCCAATATGTTGATTTAATTTAAAAATAGAAGCTGTCACAAAGCCTATTGAAAACAAATCCAAATCCATCCTTCTGTGAAGAATTTTTTTCCAAGACTGTGTTGGGAGTGAAGTTTTCAAACCCCTGGGAGGAGTTCATGTATTTGATGATGAGGATTTGGAAACAGAAAGTATTTGATTTCTGCTGTTAGACAGGTAGACAGACACCTAAATGGTGCCACTGCCTCCTACTCCCAGCATCACTACAGATGATGGTGGTTAAGTTAAAGTGGTTCACTGCACAGTTCTCCATCCCTGAATTACACCTCATTAAAGCTTCACTTGGAGTCAAAAAGTATTCTGATGGTGAGGACAAGACATAATCCATCAAGGAAAATATTTTCCTGAAAATCTTCCAAACTCTATGGCACATTTCAAAAAAAAAAAAAATTGCTCAGTTTTTACTCTAAGTTCCTATTCTTCTGTATCCAAGTATCTATTTTTTTAATAATAAAGAGTTTGTGGCATCAGAAGAAGAAAAGCAATGAGTATCTATATAAGGTACCTCAATCCAACAAAACACATACTAAATAAAATTTGGTGCAATCCATTTTCAATAGTAAGATGCTAAAATCACCCTATAAATAGACTATATCTTTATTTTGAACCATGTAGAATTATACTGTCTTTTAAAGAAAAAATATATTAGCCAGTGAAATTAATTTTCAGAGTACAGTGAAAAACACCATGGCTTTTACTGAGTTAATGTATGTTCTGTCAATTACTAATTTCTTAGTAAGTCTCTTGTGATTTGGAAATCTTAAAAGACTCAGTTATTTATGGCCATTATGGCTCCTGGCATAGCTTTATTTTCCTTCAGTGTAATTGAAATTTAATTTTACAAGCCAAAGACAGAGTTTATACCATATCTAACTATCTGACCATCCTAACTCCATTTAGTTCAGAAGCAAAATGGCCTAATGTGTCCATACAAAGTCTTGCAATGTTTATATGCAAGGCCCCTTCCAGATGGTTATTTTTAAAGTAATTTTTGAAGGATATTTTTCAAAGATGCAGAGATAGCAGCACTGAAAACAAACAGCTTTTCACATGATTAATGTTTCTGTGCAGATGGAAGCATGACCAATTAGTGGCTGAATACTTGCTGAAGCTGCTGTCTCTATTTACAAAAGCCCAAGGTAAGGCTGAAACTGTGCTTTGCTCATTCCCACTCCCGAACTGCAGTCAATATTTACTGACCACTTCACTGAGTAAAGTTCATACTGTCCTAAATGCATACACTGTAAATTTCACATGGCTTTGGCTACCGATCTGGACCCTAATACTGAGTTCAATTAAGAGGCTTATCCTAAAGGGAAAGAGCATTTCCATCTCAGCAGAAAAGGTACCAAAATTCTTTGAGAAATATGGCCTGCTTCATCCACAGTGCATGCACAGGAAAATCAAGATCCAGTGGGCAGAGCTCTGAGAATTTCAGCAATGCTTTGAAGTCACAGAATGGGAGGAATAAACAGGGCACATGTTGGAAACTGCCTCTCCCACCAGCAAAGTACCAGGGGGGCATGCTGGACTAGGACCAGAGGGGTATGCTGGACTAGTCCCCCCATTCCTGCCATGACAGCCATAAGTAGAGGAAGGAATAATTACTGTGGGCCAAAGCCACTGTGTTTCTCACTGCCTGATCTGTCACAGAAGTCCAAGGACCAGAGGGCTGCTCCTACATCAGCAAGTGCTGCTCCTGATATGAGGGGAGGAGAAGCTCATATCTGCTGTTTAAATATAGACAGGGAGCATCTGGGACCACCTCAGTGCACAACACACAGGAGTCAGGTCTCAGCTGGCCCCTGGATGTGCAGCACAGCCCACCCCATCCCAAACGCCAAACAGCAGCCTCAGGCAGACCTTGGATCTTTATCAAGAAAAGTCCCTGTGTAATGTCCTTCTAATGTTAAAAATTGGAAGTTATTTTAAATCGTATATTGAAAATAATCTGCAGTCTGGCATGTGAAGATACTCTGCTCTTCACTTCTGTTTAGCACCAGTAAATTGAATTAAACTGGCCTTGCATTTCAGCAACACATCTGTCTAACATCTGTCCTCTTTTCATGCTGTATACTTCCAAGCAACATACAGCCCACATGAAACTAAAATCAGTTTTCATCAGCCTCATTTGTCTTTTCAAAGGTTTTTATGCACCTTGTAAAATCTTACCACAGATCATGAGCAGCAGACCCATTCTGTAAAGAGTAGTGTGATGTTTTACTTAGGATTCACATAGGTACAGTGATATTGCCATCTTATTTATGTATTCTTTTAATTATTTATATATTTAATATTGATATTGATAATAGATCACTAATTGATAATTATTGATATATTATTGAGGTATTAATTTATAAAAAATTAAAGCCATATTTAATATGTTTTATCTTCATCCTTGACAGACAGCCTTTCTAGTTCTAGGTCTCTTTGTATGCTCAAGTCAGGTAAAAGATTACCAGAAAAACAGATTAAGAGACACATACAAATGGAAAAATATAAAAATTACATAGCATCTTACATAAGTAAAGTCCTAGTACACTAAAAGTTATAAAATTTTTCTTTTAAAAAGAACTTAATTTCTCTGATTTCTAATCTTATCAGTCAAATTGCTACATAAGAGATTTCAACACAGGAAATATAAAACCCAGTGAAAAAGAAGATGTTTTAACCATATGGCTTATTTGAAAATAGATGCTAAGAATTTGTGCCCTCCAAGCAGCCTGAAGTGTTAAATACATTAGAAGTTACCTTGTTACATGCATGTTTGGGCCCTGGGCCAGTCCCATGAACTTTTGGCTCAAAAATTATACACAGCACTGTCCGTGCAGCCAGACTGATGTTTGCTATTTTAACTTTGATAGTCTGGAGTTGAACAAATAAAGGGACCTGTTTACTCACCCAGTCTCTCTCCTAGCCAAACAAGACTTCCTAGTGAACAAAAAATCTTTCTGTTTTCCCACCTGAGACCCTGAGACCAAGAAAACTCTCATGAAGAGATGTTTTACCTGCATCACACTTTAATGTTGGTTTCCATAAAATGCTCTAATTTGAAAATAGAACATGGATTCCCTACCATGGAGAATTTAAGATTCTTAGATTTCAAATTTACATTTGCATGCACTCATGGGAGACAGATGAAGAGTAAAAGAGTATGGGCAGAGCATCAAGTCAAGAACAAGAGAGATGAGGCTGATCCGGGAGGTGATAGAAGTTGTTGTTGATGCACATGAAATAAATATGGAGGCATGGTGGAGTGAGCACTATTTCCTAATTGCTTGTTTAAAATCAACAGACCATTGAGGCTGAAGGATGGCCTATTTATCCTTGCTCTTTTCCCAGAAAACCTCTAAATAGTTATGTACTGCAAATATGAAATGGCAGAACAGCTTTGCTGGTTTAGATACTGCTAAGTATTTATGAGGCAAATGGAATTAATTCCCATGGGATATTGAGGGTGATGAATTGTTACACCCATTGACTGTAAATTTCACTACTAGACCTGATGTGATATGTTCTATGCAGGGCATGAATAAGCTTCTGTTAAAATTCACAGTCTAAAATGTATGACTATCTTATATGAAAATCACACCATAGTTTTTCTGAGCTTTAATAAAAAAAAAAAATACAATCTATATTTTCCACTCCCCTTGAAGTCAGCAATAAGGGATTTTTTTCATTTCCCCATCAAAATGTAAATTTCAAAAAAAGAGAGCAGTAGGGTGTACAAAATTAAAATTAATTTTGTCATTAAATGATATCTGGATTTCAGCCAGGAAACAAGGTCTTTTCACAATTAAGACATCACCAACCAGTATTTGCCATGATGCTCCATTGCACACATCTCATTAGCCAGCAGGCACCTGCATGCAGCTGCAATAGATAAAGATTACTTTCCACACTCTTTTTCACTGCTGCTGATTTCAGAGCAGTTATTCTGATTTCTTTGACAGAAGGATCAATTCTTTTCCTCTAATTTCCAATGAAGTTTCCAATGAACATTACCTTCAAGCATTTTCTGCAGACTATTTCTCATAACATGGATGTTCTCAATGCCTATGAATTGAAACTTGATGTTGGAGTAGTTGTCTTCATTTTCATATCCCTTCCCTGCTGCTCTGTTTGCCATTGCGTTGAGCTGAAAAACATAGGGAAAACTGGATGAAAACCAGTAGCAGAATCTTTTCAAAACAAACCTTGTGGTCTACAGCAGTAAATCAGAGCGCTTTAAATCAGTCACAAATAGGAAGCATTTGCCAGAGTGTCAACACAAGGGGCTATGAATGGGGGATCTGTTTGCAGCCTACTGCAGGCGCTGGGGCGCCGAGTCTCGGGTACCCCTATTTCACACACTGTGAGTGAATCTTCCTCGTGAGGTTAAACACAAAACCCGCACAGCTTAGGCAGGATTCCTTTGAAAGAGCATAAAGGTTTTAATTTTAAAGGGCAGTTTTGATTTTGTGCTGGAGCAGCATTATGTTTGCTAGCAGAACACGTACCCAGGAGGTGGCAGTGTCCCATCTGCCGTGCCACTGGTTCACAGCATGCGCACACTGCAGCCTTGCCCACCTCACTGTATTTTACTGCCCAAATCATCCAAAAGCTGATACAGCTTACTTCTTTGAAGCTTGCAATAACGAAAAGTGAGTTAGAGTAGTTTTTCCTAATTTTATAGTAACTTGGCTCGCATTAAGTAAGACTACAAAATATTTGAATGGACAACATTACCACAAATATTTTCATCTGCAATGCACTGCTATCAAAGGAGCTGCTGTGCTTCAGGAAAAATACTTTCAGCTGGAAGTTGAAGTTTTGTCTTCAAATCTGTTGCTTACTTCCTGGCATGGGAAAGTGACTAAATACTTCTTTAGTTTGGTTTTCTCAAGCATAAAATTGAGGGTGTGGTTAATGTTTATTTCCCCCTTTTTGGAACCCTTGAGTGGGAAGGAAAACTATCTGCCAAGCTCCTTATGCCAAATTTTGATCTTTGAGCTGAAAACTAAAGCTGATAAAAATTAAGTACTTTTACTTTTTCTAGGTATTTTAAACTAAATTATTCTTTTATTAAGTACCTATTAACTTTTTCCCTAAATTTCCTATAGCAAAATCTCACTGTGGAATGGAAAGAAATTGTCTTTTTGCATAAAGTCCATGCTTTTCTGTGAAATTCATGCTGTAGTGCTGGGGGACCTTCAAACTTCCCAAGAAATATGAAGGCTTTGAGAGAGACAAAGCAGCTCAAGTGGCAGAACCTCAATGCCTCCAAGCACAACTAACAGCTTCTGCTCATGAAAGATTTTAGAAAGAAATAATTTAGGATATAGACTTCATGAGGCATCAGTTGGACAAAAGGTGACTCATCTTAATTTCAGTGAGAGCCAATGCTCATGAAAAAGTAAAAAAAGTCTGTCTTAGGCATTGCCTAGGGGACAAGAGGCTGTGCAGAGAGCTCTGTCTCCAGTTTATTTCCCAATAGTGCAGGCAGCACTATTGATTCACTGCTTCTGTGGTCACATCAGAAACTCACAATAATATATTTCAGTGCTTAGCTAATGGCATCATGAGCTATACAAGAATGTCTCTTTTTCTGACCTATTCCACCCCAAACACACATACTCCCAATATTAAATTTTGGTCTGGAGCCAATACACACAACTGGGGGTTGGTTGTCTGATGCTGTCTTCTCTTCAACCAAGATGAACAAGCCCAGTGTTTTTTACATTATATGTCAAAATAGGTTTCCAAGGACCAAACCTGATCTCTTAACTTTCAAAGGAAAGCACTGTAAAGTTACATTTGTGCATCACCCTTAGGAATTGAAACATTGCATGAATTTCATGACACAACAGAAGGAACTGCACTCTGGGTAGGAACCTGGGCAAAAATCCAACACTTGATTTATATGAATCTTGGGCAAAAGTTCTTTTAACTTGTACTGTGCAATTCAGGAAAGTGCATGAACACAAAAACTCCATTCTTGTCTATCAACCAGCAGTCTACTGATGTTTTGACTATCAATGGACAATAAAAAAAAATACAGCCTGTGAACAGCATGTCAGTTAAGGACAGAGTCCTCTGTGTGACTTGCTACAAAGATATAAATTATCTGCCGAATCCTAATCTTTCTCTTTTGAAGTTGACATCAGTATTCTTGTATAAACAAAATGAGGCAGTCTCTCTCTGCAGCAGCCTATAGCTTCAGGAAGAAAGATCTGTACACATGAGTCTCAGCCACCACAAACCCCTGAAACACTAAATGAAAAACATCTATCCTCTAACTAACCTAGTACTCAGCACATAAATACCATTAACTGTTCCTGCAGCAGAGCAATTTTTATCACCAATATCTTTTCTTAAAGGACAATCTGAAACAGCACTGTTTGAAAGTAAATAAATATAAGGTCAAATTTGCAAGGCTTTCTGACACTCATTTATTTTAAATACTGCCAGTGGCCAAACTTTGCAGCTGCCACAATATTTACTAACAAGTTTTCCACATCATCTACCAAAATTCCATCTGTTGCTCTGAAAGTGGTTGTTGTGAAGCTATCTAAATTGTGCATGTCCTTGATTAATCTCAGTGAATATGAGGATGCAGCCTATAAAGGTAGAAGACCCCACTTGCAAGATTTCCTAGCATTTTCTTTAATCTGGAGGATAACCAAGCCAAGTCTTGTTATAAAGATTATGGAACTAATATGTTTTAGTGATAAACAGTAAGTCTACATTAGCTTCTTCTGTGATTACATAGAGAAATAACAGTGGCTTAAGTAAATTCGTATGTGGTCATCCTGAGATATTCAAATGGAGTGCAAACAAAGCTTTCTTCCACAGACAAATCTTTTGTTTTGAAAATTATCAAGTGCAATAAGGGAAGAGCACTTGGGAATGCTGAATTGAAGGATCCATCAACATTCATTATCTTTATAAGGAACTGGCTCTTAAGAGAAATGAGGCAAACAGCTTTTTAGCTGCCTACAGGAATGGAAGGCCTTTCACCAGACTTGATATCTTATCTTTACATTTGTTAAAGGTTCCCTGAGGAATACGAGGAACTGCTTCCACCAATACCTATCCATTGCTATATGCCCTACATTTATAAATGCATTATCAGGTGCAAAATTATATCAAGGCTGTATTTGGCATCTGGGATCACGGGAGCTTTGTATATTTGTCAATGTTTGCTGCACAGAGAAAAGTATGAATCTTATATGCATATTTCATTACATTAAAACCTTTTCTTAACAAAACAGTTAAGTGAAAACAAACAGTCTTCATTTCCTGACTGGCTCCTGAAGAAGCCATCATTGCTGGAAAGATGCTGGCATTCATGTCTAAGTGAGCCTAATTCAGTCTCTCCGTACCCTCCAAAAAGTGTGGGCTTTTTTCACTGTGCACAGAAGGCGTCTCAAAGTAATTTACCAGAAAAAAAAATAAAATTAAAGGACAGCTCCTTCCTGTTACTACCTGGTAAAACATTATTAATAACCAAGTCATTAGCAATAAATCGACTGCCTTAAATAGGGAAGAGTACCAATATCATCAGACTGGAAACAAGCTATAACTATTACTACACATAGAAAACTGCATTAAACAAGCATTATTTAGGGAGCTAGGTCTGTACTTCATGTCTAATGCCCTTTCTGAACACAATGGTACTGATCCTTTCCTAGTGCTCATCATAATTCACTCCCTTCAAGACCGTAAGTAAGCTGGTAGCACCCTCGTCTTCCCAACAAAAAAAAGAAAGGGAACTGAAGGTAAAAGTACTTACCAAATTACACAGTCCTTGGTGTGACTTGGGTCAATGAGACATGCCAAGGCCCTCATTTTCTGGCTATTGCCTCCCATTAGAGCTGTGAGCACTCACAGCACTTTCCCACCAATGCTCATGCCTTCAGTCATCAGCCATGCAGGATTCCTGGATCTGCTCCAGCTCTGCCAGGTTTGCCCTTCCTCACTCCATTTCTCATGTTTCTCAGTTTTACTCACCCTGCCCTTGCCCCTCTGTCTTCTAATCTCAGGATAACAAAACAGCTTCCTCGTTCCTTTTCCTCAAACATTTATTCTCATTTTTTCTTTTTCCCATGCTATAGCTAATCCTATACCTACAAGGGATTCTGTGGAGGTTTGCCTCTTTAGTTTCTTTTCTTCAGAGGCTTTGGTAACTTCAAGAGGAAAGCTGCTGATAGTATAAGAAAGAACATATCCCTACTCTCACCTCCACATACTGCAGTCAATCTAGTCTTTATCACCTTGAGCTGTTTGCTTGCGTGACAATTTCAACACAAAGTTTTTTTAGCTCCCAACCTCTTCTGGATTATTATTGAGTTTCTATATTTCTCTATAGCACAATTTTTTTCCTAGAGCTTTTTTCTTGGCCAGAAGTTTTTACTCAATTATAGATATGGCATCTGATGCCACTATTATCGTATTTCAGATTGTCTCTCAAAACCACCAAAGTGCTGGAGATATTTAAAGGCCTCTTCCATTCCTGTCATGTCAGCGACTTGCCTTTTTTTAGCCTTATGTAGGGGTCCACTGGAATTCTCTCACTTCCAGGAGAAATCATTCACGAAGAATTACAATATAAGCAGTCAGAGGTTTGGAACATTACAAACAATTGTAAATACATCTTAGAAATTATTTTTTGCCAGTCTCATCAGAAATATACTTACTTGATAGCTCTTTTGTGTGTGCAAACAGTTACAATTACACATTATTTACTTTTCTGTATCTTGACATTTTGCTAAGAATAAGAAAAAGGAAAGGTTCAGTGTAAAGGAGAAAATTCTCTCAGAGATAATAATGTAGTCAAGGTTCCTAGTTAAGATTGCCCTGATAAATCCGCATGTACCTGTGGAGTTACAGAGGTGCAACTAAGATCAGAAGTGACTTGGTCAGTCACTTAGGTTGTGTGTCTTCCCTAATGTATTCAGCCCAGACTCAGTCTTGCTACGTGCGAGAAATTTAATGCACTTACTTTGGGCCGAGTGTCAACAACATATATGAAATCACTTCCTGGATTGGCTTTTCTGATGGCCTGGAGCATCTGTTCATCCTCAAGGCATCGAGCACTAAAGCCAGATAATGGCTGGCTGCTTCTACATATGGAGGCCTGCAGAAAAACAATCAAGAAACCTTACAGATTTATAAAGTAGAAATTATTTAGCATCCAGAAGCCTTTTCAAAACCAGATCATTAGATGTTTGCATAGGTGTACAATTACATGAGAAAGGCAGAAAGGTAAAATTAATCACATGTTAATAAATGCATTATTTTAATTACATGTTAATAAATACATTATTTTTTAAAAGATAAGGAAGCATTAAAACAATACAACCTCACTGGCTCAAGTCTAGTCTTGAATCCAAATTGTAGAGCTATTTTAAGTTCTGTATCTCCCTAATGTGGAATAACTTCTGAAAGGTGATATCTTGAGGATGAGTACAGCCTTGAAATCATGAGAACATTGATATAATATAAAGAATAGGTCCTTTTGTACTCACACTTACCAGGCACAAGACTGATTACACCTAACCTACACCAGTGCCTGCTTGACTAAACAGCCTGACAGCAGGAGGCCAGGAAACAAAAATGTATAACGTGCAACCAGATCACCAATGATGGGGTATTTTTAGCACTGCCTTTGATCCTTTTGGACCTCACTGCATAAGTGAGGTAAGCCTGCATAAGCCTTGGGTAAGGCAGCCTGACTCCTGGAGTACTTGTAGTAAGCACGGCTATTGAAGGAGGCAAGAGAGCTTCTCCACAGACCCATCAAGATCACCTTCTTTCCAGATGAAACCAGGAAAGAAGAAACAAAATGTGAAATGAGTAGGCAGGGAGATTTTTATTTTTGCTAGGCAGAGGACAGCTAGGGGATAATACATTGCACTTTCTAAGCACTGAACACAAGCATGAAGAGAATCTGTCTATTGAAGGTCACAACCTGTGCAGGCTGTCCTACAGATTATTTATTACTGTGAGAAAGGACATGCTTTTTTCACTCACATCTTTGAACTACCAGTAGTTACTCAGTAAAGTACGTGTCTTTAAGAGAGAAACCCAGAATTGTGTGAGACCCTGTTCATACTTTATTAATGGTTTTGCAAACATGTTCTTGTTATTTAGAGATTAGTCTTCGGATCAGCACATACTCCAGTGATTTATTACATGCTATTGCATAAGCTGAACAGACAGCTCCAGATCCAGTTCCACTTTGATCTTATCATATTCACACAGACTGTGTAAGATGCAGAGGTGTCACATCACTGGATTTGTCAGGACAAAGGAGTTGTGTGAAAGTTCGGTCTATGAAAGACTGAATGAGTGGTAATTGTTTCCTCTGCATGCATCAGGCTCTTCCCAAACTGCTGTTAAATCTTACCCCTTCCCTGCCCATTACTCTATTTACTGGCAACTCATGGCAACCTCCAAACTCACAAGGAGGTATTTCCTCAAACACTGCTTTTCCTAGATCTTCAAACTATAAAGGTTCCAGGAGTAAATACAATACTTCAGATCCTGCTTTGAATATTAACCCGAGCTTCAACCACAGCAGGGAAAACATTCAGGCTGAATGTTTTAAATCTTTAAATTTATTTAAAGTTTAAATCTTTTAACTATTTAAATCTATTTAACTTTTAAATCTTCCTATTTTCCCCTTCATTGCAAAATTCACAGATCTTTATAGAAGCAATGCTCTGATGAAATTCAGGGTAAAGGAGTAAAAATAATGTCTCATTCCTTTATTCTGAAGCTTAAATATGCCCCTACCTGCGTGGGAAATGCTACAGATACCCTGTAACCCCAGACTAGCTCTGTCTCTTGGACGGTCCTGACCTTCTCCCAACACTAGGGAAGACCTCTCAGCACTGGACTGCAGCAGGAGTCACACAGATCCTTTGAGAGCACAAAGAGGACACCATTCTCCAAAGTGTTAATGACAGCTGAGCTAAGGCACTCCCTAAGGAGCTGGAACACAAATATAAAAACACCCAGTCTGGGGCATCCTTCAGTCCAAGGGTCTCCTTTCTCATCTCAGCTGCCAGAAACAGAAATGCAAATAGTCTAGGTACAGGTTTTTATCCAAATGGTTACAGACAAGTGAAGCAGTTCCTTGCTCAACCCTAAGAATGTTTGCTATAGAGAGAGGAAGGTGGAACTCCTCGCTCTTGCAGAAAACGAAAATCTCTTCAGCAAAACCACAACACACTGCTCAGCCAAAATTTTGCAGCTCTTATATCCATCTTTTCTGCGTCTTTTCACAGATCTTTTCTTGAAAAGCTGCTCCTGATTCTCTAACTGATGCAAGTATCATTTCTGACCTCCTCAACTTGCTCTTAGGCTACCAGATCCAAAATTGCTCTGTTCTCCTCCCAGTCAGCTACTAAGCTGCCTGCTACTGGCCTTCACTGCTCTGCCACCCATGTCTCAGGGCCCCTTGTACTACTCCACTTCCTTGTGATACAGGGATAACATATTCTTTGTATTAGCTGGATGATGAAACTGGATTTAAATGTGTACATTAAATGTCTATTAATGAACTAACCACACTAAATAGCCTACACTAATAATTTTTTTCAAATTAAATAAACACCAATTTTGTCTTGCAAAACCTTACTAGCAGAATTATGAGGCCAAGGCCAAAATAGGCAAGCACTTTGAGGTTACAAATTCACACTTACATTGTTACCCTTGCAGTAGTAGGAAAGAGCTGGGAAACGCCTTCGGCTGCGAAATTTAGAACTCCCCACTATGATGTGTGCAGTTGCAGACTTTGGTACGTAGACTTCTGTAGGATAGGAGTCACAGACCTGTGAAAGGGAAGTCTGTTTGTTTGGTCTACAAAGTACAAGTAGCATTAGCCATTTCCACAGCAAAAACAAAATATCAAGAACTCCAGCCTCGGGGAATAGTCTGTTATTATGGTAATATATATCACTGCCGTTGCTCAAAACATTATTTTGAAGCTGGAAAGTATTAATCTAACTTGCAAATGGAAAAACTGAAGCAAAAGGGCTGAAGGGCTGTATTTCCAAATGTTAATTCATGTCTTATTGGGGACAGGTTTAATACACATTCATCCCAGAAAAGATTTATTGCTACATATAGCAAAGTCGTATTTACAAACACAGAATTTGGGAGTAGCAGAATTTGGGAGTAAGGATGGGAGTTGGTGAAGTTCTCAAACATTCTGTTGGGAGGAGAAAATAATGGGAGGGGACAACAGAGCCAAATTTTTCAGAAGATTTGATAATTAAAAAAAAAAAAAAAACCAGACAACGATAGGGACATGGAGACAAGAAATTAAGCTACATGAAATGAGGTTCCCAAAAGGCAAGCAGGCCTGACAATGCCTACCACTTCTGAGAAACCCAATGAGCCTGCAAAAAAAGCCCAAAATTCCCTCTGAAGACAAGTGAGACCACAGATGGAACCCTGTTTTTACCGTTTCCTGATATTGTCTGTAGCATTCTGACTGGGGTCAGAAGGCTATTTAATATCTCCCTTTGACTTTCTGCGATGACTAAATCACTAAGAATAGCCAGGAAGAAACTATATTCAGAGTCAAGAGATATGTAATGAAGGAGAAAGGAAAAGAAGGGCTTGTGGTTACAGTTGCTGCTGTGGTGAACTGGATTTTATTAATGATGACATTTTTCCTACACTTTATCTTAAAAGAGATCATACTTTTTTTTCCACTCATTTTAACAAAAAGAAAACAAACCCTGATAGCACATTCAGTCTTTTCTGAGAATGTCACAGTCCTTCCTCAACATGGATATGTTCCAGCAACAGAACCAATGGAGTGCATGGACTACTTACTTCAAAAATGTCTTGGTTATTGTTTCTTACAATTAATTAATATTAAAAGGTCTTTAATTGTACAAGACTGAATGAGGCAGGACAGCAGGCAGCTAGGAAGCTGTATGACCTGTAAGATGACTGTGAAAATCACTGACAGTCAACACAGATGCTTCAAAAGGAGTGTGGGAACAGACATGAGGAAAAAATATTGCCAAGCTCACTATCTGGAACAATGTTTTTTTTTCTTAAAATGACTATGTATCAATTTTACATATCAGGGAAACTCTTATTCACACTAGGTATGACTTAAACTTCTTCCCAGGCAGCAGAACTCTAACATCTAAAACACAGTGGACTTATTTTCTGCGCTTCATTTCCCCATCTTTTAAATGAAGACCCATCCTTTCTCTCATTCTCTGTGTGCCATTTTATGTGAAGTAGTAGAGTAACTGCACCTTACTACATGTGTGTACAGCACTGAGCACAAACAGATACTGCCAGTAAGCACTATGGTGGTCCTCAGACAGGCTGCAGATTTATTGTACAGACAACCTCCGTGACAGAAAAATCACAACTTACTCCGTAGTCTCTGTTGACATCACTAATCTGCCAATAGTTGTTTGGAACACCCATCCGATTATATTCCTCATTGAGGTCCACAAGCTTCCACCCTTGTTCTCGTTCTTCTTTGTCTAATTTGGGATTGAAGGAGAAGCAATACAGCTCTTCATATTTCACTGGGAAAAAAAGAAGCAAAGAAACAGAAAGGGTAAATGACTTCAGATTGCTTGTCCTGAAATCACACTTCAAAACCAGAACTTGGCATGGACCTCGATGCAGCTTCCTTTCAAAGTGTACATTTTGCTTTACAAAAGCACATATCCTGGTTTATATCTACTGTCAAGAAAACTATGAAAGTACATGCTCTATTGTTATTTGTATATGTTGAAATGTATGTGCCTTAATAGAAGTGCTACTTAAAATATACTGTTCTGCTAGTCTTCAGTAGAATTGTAAAAACTTTTCCCAGCACAAAGACAAAATGTCAGCAATATGCTTTCATCCAAAGTAAACTAAAGTCAGTGCCAGAGTAAGCACTTGTTCTTCAAAAGAATTTGCTATATAGAGCTAGTTTAGAAGTCCCTTTATTAATGTAACATTTTCCTGTGGCAAAGAAAAAAGATATGAACAATGGACTTTGCAGCACATTCTGCCAAAAAAAAAAAAACCAAAAAAAAAACCTCAGTAGTTATTGTTCCTAATTAGGAAGGTTTCCAATAGATCCAATGAGATCATAGTTTTGTGGACTGCAAAATTATTAGTAAATGCATTCAAGATGCACATGATGTAATATCATAAAAAAAGCATGTGCTATATCAAATATTTTATCATTACCAGGAAGTTGCTTAAGTAGCTATGCCACCTGTCCTCCTTGACCATGTACCATATATGAAAGTTTGTTGGTGCTGGAGTTTTTAAACTTTTTTTAGGAGTGTATCTGCATTTAATAAGTGTCTTAATCCTGGTGACCAGTGGCAGCCATACACCACTGCCATTGAATCCCAGCTGTTCCCGACATGAGTAACTATCCAGCATAGAACTTGAAATTCATGTTCTCACTGACACTTTAGATATTGCTTCTTCACAAGGGCTTAATTCATTCTGTTGCTCAAAGTTCCTTAAAACTTTCTGATAAACAGATGCTTAACTTTAGAACTGAAGTAAATCACAAGCTGAGTCCTCTCTGATTTCATAATTCTCCACTGATACACTTGCTGTACAATCAGTAAATTTAAATACTACACTCCTTTCTAATAACATATAGCTAATAAGCAGAATCTTTCTACACTACTGTGTTCTGTACTAAATAGAACTTACAGCTATAAAAATAATAAATCACCCCCCCCCCCAAATAATAAGGCTCCCATCTTTTTCTGTAGAAAGTCTTTACTTTTATTTTGATTATGTCTTCTAAAGGTCTAATGTAAGTTAGGTTTTGCCTTTTTAAATGTCATGGAATTGATTGTATATACATATACACAAAAGTATGAACAGAAAGAAAGAAAACCTCATGTTAACTCTGTCAGGAACATACTGAAAATCAATGAAGTCTTGAGTACAGAGAAAAAAGGGAATGATTTCCACATTTTCCAGCAGTTTAGACTCCTTCTGTATTCTCTGATTTCAAATTTCTGGCATGACACAGATTAGGAGGACAGTCTGGTTTATTTCTCACGTTAACCTAAAGTTTTAGCACAATCCATAAATCCAACCTGAGCTTTTGGTAGCAATCTGAACTCCTGTTTCCACTGCTTTGTTGTCAGAAGCATCTGGATTTTCTTTCCAAGGCACCTGCTGTTCACAGGCACAAGGAAAGCCTTTAAAAATCTACCTGTGTATCCAGGTTATTTATGACTGAAGTCTGCCTCAACATAATAAGTATTATCACATGATAGCATCTGCACATAGTAACAAAAATGTTCAAGTATTAGTAGTCAGTGCCTTAAAGGTCAGTTACCACATCTTTGCCAGTACTTACATGAACTTTCCTAATCTTTCAGTAATTTTGCCATAAACATCTGCAATCCTGCTATTAAACATGTAGTATCTTATGATCAGCTTGTTTTACAAAATGGTTTAATTAAGAAAAAAGGGCCAAATTCAGCTGACAGCTTGACCTTATTAAAATTCTAGCAAAAAATAAAATTAAGCATAACCTTCACCTTTAATGTAACTAGGACATCAGATAGCATAGAACATGCTAAGCCAGTATACGACAGTTTCTCTCAGGAATAAATGAAAAGAACAGGCAGAGAATGGAAAATAAAGCCTGAATAGGTCAAATTATCTGCTCATGGAGTAACAAATACCTTCTAATGCTGAGTAACCGTATTACCTAAAGAAAGTACAGCCTCATGTCCTGACAAAATGTCAGGGAAGAGCACTGTCAGGTACAAATGAGTCAGCTTGAATCAGAGGCTTCTAATTTTGAGTAGGTATGCAAGATTTTGTCCTGTCTCAGATCATGATCAGATCATTTGGTGAAAGAAAACTACTCTGCAGCTAAACTATGCAAAAAGCTAATTCTACAGTGCTGTTATTGCATCTTCTTTACTCAGACCTTCTTGTCCACTGCAGTCAGTCACTAAACTTGCATTCAGGGTCCTCAGCTACTCTGCCTTTCATCATTCTGGTGCATAGCAGCATGCACACCTCCTCCTGCCTCCAAGAAAAAGGATTACAGAATCACATACCTTCCAGCATACATGAATATGTACTTGCAGCTGAGGTGCATAGAATGAATCCAGATTTTCATCAGCAGAACCACTGACTGAATTTTTTGAATTGTTTTAAATTTCTCTGATTACTTTCATCCTGCTACTTAAAGTTACTTCTGCTACAGTTACACAGTACTACTGCTACTACTTTATAAAGTAGTAGCAGTAGTACTGTGTAACTTTATAAAATTGAGTAGCTGTGCTGGGTGACTGTGCAATTTTTGTCCCCTCTACACAGCAGATAAAATTGGTACTATCCTAACAAGAAAAAAATTAAATCCAGTTGTTGTCAGCTTTGTAAAGACTGCATCAGATAATTTCTTTGCATATTATTAAAATAATAATAAATAACAAAAGTTGGTGTTATATTTCTAAAGTCATAGTTTAAAAAAAAACTACCCAGAAGCTTTTCAGTTGGGTCTTAGGAGAGCACAGTGCAGACAGGAGCTATAATGTAGGCAATCAAATGCTGGGCTTTGACACAACATTTGGTTTTTCATTGAAAAGGGGAAAGGTTACAGAAGGATCTTGAACTGAATTCAGAAACACACAGGGCATAGTCAAAATGTAGATAATAATGGGCCAAAACACAGGCAGCCCAGTGAAATAAAACAACTATTTGCTGCTAAACCTTTCACTGATTCTAAGGAATTTCTGCACAGAACAAAAAGTCATAATGGAAACCTTGCAGGACCACTAAATATATTGTAAAGTTTTTGTTACAACAGGGACATATAACTTACCTGAATCTAGAATATTCTCCTAAATTTGCATTTACACAAGTCATCCAGAAAATGAGTTGCACACAAAATAGCATAGTAATATATTTTATGGCACACAATGCCCTAGAGTATTATTTTAAACAGAAATTCATGTCATGCTTTATGGAATTAACTACTTGTTATAATGAGCCTTTTTCTTTGATCTACAAATGATTATATAATTATTTCTCTCGTAACACATCTCTATTGAAACTTTTTTCTTAACCTGCAAAGGACTAAGATGCACATACATATTTCTTCCATTAAATTCTCCCTCTTCAGGATGAAGCCTGATTTGTGTGCTGTTTTCTTCCCATACCTGGTCGAGCCAGACGTATCAGAGATATGTAAACGTCATGGCAGTCTCGTTCCTGAGGGATCACCAGATGGATGACCTGGAAGTTTTTGCAGCGGATCAGTAATGGGCAACCAGTGGCAGTGGTGGCTTGCTTCTCAATAGAGGCAATTTGACTGTGAAGAACCTGAGGAGAATTGAAAAGAATTATGCTAGTCAAATCTTTCAGAAGACAAGTAATTATTTATAATGATGTGCTAGAGCAGGTACAGTAGCTTCCACTACTCTTTCAGAAAACCCTCGTGCTCCTCCTCTTGTAGTTTGGTTCCTACAGCTTGATACATCACCTGCAGACAAAGAGGCATTTGTGGAGTGTTTCAGCTGCTCAAACATCAGCCTGCTCACATTATCCAAAGCTTTTTTTTTTTTGTTGCTTTAGTGTAAGCTAGTGGTTTTAAAGCTCTTTTCATCTATTTCCACAGTGAAAAGATGAACCCGCATCAGTTACATAAGGCTAAAATATTGTGCCTCCTCATGGGTAGAATGGTAATGCTGATATAATTTTAAATAATGCATCAAATGAGATAAAACATTACAATATAAACCTGGTCAGGAATAGTGGGATCAAAGGAAGATGGAGTTAGTAAGTGAAAAAATGGACAAGGGGTACATAATTAAGCTACATAAAAGACTCTCAGATGTACGACACCAAGACATAGCTGTATCTATATGTGCACACGTGTGCTGGTTTTGGCTGGGGTAGAGTTAATTTCCTTTACAGTGGCTGACATGGGACTATGTTTTGGATTTGCACTGAATACAGGGTTGATAATATAGACATGGCTTTATAGAGATGCTTACACAGAGCCAAGGACTACTGCAATGCTAGCAAGGAAACTGAGAGTGCATGTGGGGTTGGGAGGAGGCACAGCCAGGACAGGTGACCCCAACTGACCAAAGGGATGTTCCAGACCATATGACACCATGCTCAGTAGGTAAAGTGGAAGGAAGCAGGAAGCAGGAAACATTTGGAGTGGTGACATTCACCTTTCCAAGTCACTGTTAGGTGTGATGGAACCCTGATCTACTGGAGATGGCTGAACACCTGCCTGTCCATGGAAAGCAGTGAATTTGATCCTTGTTTTGCTTTGCCTGTGTGTGTGGCTTTTGCTTTTCCTATTAAACTCTCTTTATCTTAACCCATGAATTTTCTACCTTTTACCCTTTAGCTACTCTCCCTGATTCTGCTGGCAGGGGGAGTGAGCGAGTGGCTGCAGGGGGCTTGGTCAATGGCTGGGGTTAAACCACAAGAAAATGAAATGTATGTTGGCAATCAATCAAAACAGTTAATTCAAAATACCACTTTATAAAATAAATCAGAGTTATAAACCAACAAAATCACTGATTCAACACTAGCAGTAAGGGAGAAGGCCAAGAATTAACAGAGCCAAGGAAGTAATTCACATTCAAGGCATTTCGCCTTGGTTCTTCCTGGATGATAGGAGCAACAGTGCAGTTGTTCCTCAGTCAATCACATCTGGTATTCATACAGTGAAGGCCCTTCTATTCCTCTCACTATACTGTAATATCTAGAATCCACTGAAAACTTTTGAAAATTACTAGGCTGGAACTTCACATGGCCTCATAAAAGCATCCATATGAACTATTTTTAAAGTGTTTTGGAAATAATTTTCATATTACCATCAGTAAAGTAACATGCACTTACAGCTAACTGAAATAATAAAAATTCATACCCAGGTTTCTTTGCGAGTTTCAGAACCATTCTCCACAAATATGACATGGGTAGCTGTTAAATATAAGGTTCCCACCACAGCTCTTCTTGAAGATAAACGATCGAGTAACCTAACATTTTCCACCTGTATAGTGACAGAGGAAAAATAAATAAAAAATTAGGCTATGACAGAAAGATCAATAGTGAGAGCTCAATGTTCACATTTTGTCTATTACAAAGTTCTTTTCAGCACAACATTAAATATCAAAGAAGTATAACTATTTGAGAAAATGTGATTATATTATGTGATTTATTTCTAGATCTTCCTTAATGTTCCTTTTCTCCCCTCTCTTGTGGTACCTCTGTATCCAAAATCTGTTACTTAATACTTCCAAAGTGTGATCTCATCTTATCAAAACCCTGTGACAGCAAGGCATGGCCTGTCCTTCAGCTAAATTCTAGGTCCATTCAAGCCATTCCAGCTAAATTAAAATAATACGTAGGAGATAATAGTGGTAGAGTGTCTTTCTTCAATTCAGGCAAATTTTCTCCCATGCAAATCTCTGTTAAGATTTAAAATAACAGTAAAAGAGTTTAAAAGAGTAAAAAAAAAAAACCAAAATTTTGCTGTTTTTCCCTACATTCCTGTTCAGGCTGACAGGAGAGGTCACACTGGAAGTTTTGCCTTCAGTAACTTCTCAATGGAACTCAAGAGCTCCACTTCCACTGCTCTCCCACCTTGGGCACAAAACAGGCATTCTCACTTTGCTGCCCTCCTGACAACAGGTGAGTCTAAAACACATTATTAACTGTCACATCACCAGCTTGTTATTTGTACATCATCAGTGTTTTGTCTATGGCATGTGCTATAGGCTCCTATTAGGGGTAGGAACTAGATGATCTTTAAGGTCCCTTTGAACACATGCCATTTTAGGCTTCCATGATTTCTGACTGAGAAACTAGAGTAATAAAAAAATCAACAAATTGGATATTCAGTGGGATAAAATCTGCCCAAAGCAGTTATCAGTTTGCTACCATGGGTTTGATGGATCTCCTACTACAAATATTTTAAAACTAATATTAGTTGATTTTCCTGAAAAACAAAATGCCAGCATCTGAGACTTACATGTTTGCAATGTGTATTCCAAATACATTGCACTATTTTACAAATAGGAATAAAGAAAACCTTAAAATTAAAAGAAGCCAGTTTAGTAGCAAAATGCTTAAAATCAAACCATTATTAAAGCAGAGTCATCTCCCTCAAGGCCAGTTATAATCTGTTTTAAACAAAAATAAAACTTTTTATTTAAACAAAAAAGCCTGCTAGAAAGCATGGATGAAGTCTTTTCCCAGGGCCATCTACTTCAGAGGTCATATGTTGGCTTGAGAAGGAATGGAAGAAATACAACATTAACCAAGCAAGCATTCAGCAGCAAGCAAAAGAGGAGGGATGATACAAAAGAAAAATGTAGGCAGTGCCCTTCTGAAAGGAACCCACAAAAGCAATAAAAATCAGCATTGTCTGGATGAATAAAGGCCCCTACACTGCAGTCCAGCCAGGGCTCTGCTGCACAGGCACTGATCTTGCACAAATCTTGCACAGGGCACTCATCACCCACCCCAGCCTACAAAGTGAGCTAGCATGGGCCATGAAACTCAAGCAAAGCAGGCATCACACAGCAGGACAGGGCTGAGGGATGAATTTCCAGACTTTCTAGGTCACATCCTTCCCCACTCATCAATTACAGCCCCATGACTGAAAAATGCTAACCAACAAAGCTCCTCTTTGGTTGTGGTTTGTTTTGTTGTTTTGGGTTTTTTTTTTTGGTGGGTTTTTTTTTTGTTGTTGTTGTTTTTGGGTTTGGTTTTTTTTGGTTTTTTTTTTTTTTTAATACAGAACTAAAAAGGTTGGATCTGAATGACTAGGAACAGTTGCAGTAAGAGCTGTGTGGTAAGTCTGATTTTATCAAATCAAATGCAGTGGCTGCACTGGGGAGATCAAAATTCACCTCTCCCTGCAGTTTGTTTCTCAAGAACAGACAGTTGCAGCAGCTGAAGAAGAGTGTGAGAGGCAGGCATGTACTCATGCTCCCTCAGGATCTCAGCCCAGCTCAGGGGCCTTCCTAAGATGAGGCCACACTTTTTAATAGCCATAACTGTGTTTACATTCCATTCATTTTATTAAATAACATTTTGTATATCTGTAACTTATTGGTGTTTATGACACCCTGTGAGAGTGAACTTCACATTTCAGTTATACATTGTACAACAAAATCCCTTCCTCCTGCTCTTTTTGAGCCTGTCACCAGATATGTGCCACACGTGCTATTACAGATCCTTCCCTCCATCCTCGTGTTCCAAGAGTGAAGAGCCCAACTTTACACAGTTGTGACCTTTATGGAAGCTATTCCAGACAAGCTCTTCCACACTTTTGATTATTCTGCATGAGGTCTGCTTCCTGAGAAAAGGCCAAAGTGCAAACAGAACTCCAAAGTTGGATGTACAACATCCAACATCTGTACATCCAACATCCAACATCTGTACATCCAACATCTGTAGTCTGTAGTCTGTGGAGTGGAATAGTGGTGTTTGCTCTTTTGCTCTTTATTTAGTTTTTAAAAGTTCTCAAACATTGCTTCTTTTTTGTCCTCTGCTGAACACACTGGGGTTTGGGTTAGTTTTTGGGGGGCTTTTTGTTCTTGATTTTTTTAGAACTAGCGATTGTAACTCTTAGTCATGCCTGCATACAAAAGTCAAGATCTACCTCTCATGTGTATTATATTTATTAATGATAAATTTAGTGCATCAGTATAATGAGGCATTGCTCAATCTTAGATTTCACTCTGCTGATCAAAGGATTCAGAAAATGAGCCTTCTTTCTTCTTCTGCCCTCTCCCAGTCAGGAAAAGAAAGCCATGTCCAGCAATTTCTTTAAACCTAGGGAGTTTGAGAATAGAGGGAATAGGAATAGGTTCATTTCCACAAGGGAGCACACACTGCAATAGTGCTTAGGAAGAGGAGTTTTTCCATCTAAAAAGTCACAGCATGCTGAGAAATCAGCCCTAGTAGCCAAAAATTATATCAGAAAGAAATAATGATTATTTTTATTCTTTTTCCCTATAAAATAATGCTCCACTTTTTCACCAAATTAACTGGAGACATTTTTGCAGAATGTAGGAAATTATGTATGTACTGGCATGTCAGGAAAAAGCATAGAGACCATGCACATGTACTTCACCTAAAATGAACGGCTGGTGTGAGAGGCCAGATTGGAAAACACAAGTCTGTAAAGCTGAGAGCTGGAAGACCACAAGGAATTAGAAAGAAAACATTAGCCAAGGCAGTCTAGAGCGGGGCATCTAAGTAAAACTTCCATAATTTAAATAATTTATTTGAAGCTCTTGCCTATTTTTTTTCACCTTTTTTATTTTTCTTTCCTGATGACTATGGTTGTCTAGGCCTAAAGAAAAGACCACCAGGAGATTTATTTCAATAACCACAACCGCTTACATGGAGATAAATAAAGATGCCCAGAAAGTCTATTTCCAATGCAACACAGATGACAGAAAAAAGGAGGCAGAAATAGAAGTTAAAGGGAACACAGATTAAGAACAGATGGAAAGCACTTTTTACTCAGAGAATAAACATGACAAATGACTTACAAACAAGGCTGCCAAGAGGTCATTCAAGAAAAAAAATGTTATATTAGGGAAAATCATGGGCCAAAGTTTTATTCAGGCACAACTCCCACCAGTTTCAACAGGACTCCCACCTAAGGAAGAACAGCAAGTATACGACCCTGAAAGCATTTGGAAAAGTTTGTGTGCCAAAATGTTATTCCTAAAATTATTCAAGTACTCTAATTCGTTTTCATTTTTAGTTTAAATAGCTTTTTAAATAAGCTTTGACTGCATTACCTATTTTTGAATGCTTTTTGAATATTCTACCTTCGTCCTCACTTTAAGCTGTTCAAGTGTCTCCAAACACGTCAGCATCTCAAAACAGTGCAGAAATTACTGATACTACTTCAGGCTGCTCACAGTTCCACATGGGAAAGCTTTTTAAGATAAACACAGGATCAGTTCCAACTGTGGGCTCAGACTGAGCACGGAAAGGAGAAGCAAAACTGTACAGCAGATTGGCCAGAACTGGAGCTTCCTGTCACAGCAAAGATCATGTGCAGCATGGAGATGCTATCTGACTCAAAATGGTCTCTGCTGTAGGATTTTCCAATAGAATTAAATTTTGAATTATGAAAAAAAAAATCTCAAAGGGTTTTTTTCTCACTACATAGGTTTTAAGTCTATGTGTTTGCTTCCTATGCATTAGCTAACTTGAAGACACTTGAACAGCTAGTCATTGCCATGGTCATCACTGAACTGCCTGTTATCACTGAGCATCTTGAAGAAGCTGAAAAGCCTGCTTGTCAGCCAAAAACAAAAGAGATCAGCTCCCATGTCACCAAAAGTTCCCCATTCCTTTAGGAGGAGCCTTAATTCATCTCCTCTAATACCTTATCCCAAGAAGGAGAAAGGCTAGAAAACCCTCCCATCCAGGAGAGAGCTGCTAATTAAAGGTAAGCAGGGAATGTCTTCACGCAGTCCACATCCTCAGGAGCTTCTCTATTGCTCAGACACTTGAAATTCACTGCTCTACCCCAATCTGTAAAAGCAAGTTTCATGTAAAAGCTGATTAAGTACCTTGAAATTTGGCTGTACCAATGAGTTCCAGTGATTCTTCAAGGATAAAGAAAGGCCACTTTTCATTCATCCCCTTGGCCTTAGACCGACCAGAGATTTCTGCTGCCTTCCCTACTCTCCTCAAGAGGTTACACACGAGTAAAAGCAAGAAACTGCATCCTGGGAATTCATGACAGGACTCTCATTGGCCTTAGCACTGCGGCAGACAAAAGCCTGAGCCTAATGAGAAAAAAGGAGCACAGCTGGTATGGTTTGAGGCCAAGTGGAATATCTGAGCTTTCTTCACCCTGGTTGACCCCAGCTATCCACGTGTTTAGCATAATTCCTGAGAGTGAAAAAACACAACATGTAAAAGACCAAATGCTATTACTCTTTTTTTCCAACACAAAGATAGTAGTGTTGTACTTGTTAAACAAAATATATAGTAAGTGATCTTTCTTGCATGATCTTGGAGCAAGAATAAAAGAAAAATGAATTGCCAATTGATGCTGCCTTTTAATGTGGTTTCCATTCTATTTCATAAGAATTATAAAAACTGTACTTGATGCATGTTACTTTTTTATATTTTCCTCTCTGAAAAGATCTCCCAAGTGCAGTAAAATAATGCACAGTCTATGAAGTTAGATGGCTGCATATGTCAAAAGACTCAAAGCCAAAAGTAAGTAATTACATTTAAGCAAAGACACTTTAAGAGATGCATTGTAAAAAGCTTCCTCAGGGCAAATCTGGCAGGATGGGGGAAAATATTCAAGAAAAATATAACAAGTTTAATTTTCTAAAGGACTAAAGTGAAATGGAGGAAGAGCTGAAAAAATAATAAGGACTGATTCATAATAGCAAGACAGACAACAAAGTCCCTAATAATTTGGCTTTAAAAAGAAACTAAACTGCTAAGATCTCCAAAGAGTGAGGTCAGCACCGCATTATCAGATACACCTTAGTAGCAGCTGCATAATAAGAGCAACTAAGTGCACTCAGTTAAAAATCCTATCTAAGGGCTTTAATTTAGGAAAAAACAGGGCTTCCCCAAGGCAGCAAATCTTAATACATTTGCCAAATTTGTTTAGATTTGGCTCTGAAAAGATATACAGGGAGAAAGAATTCTGCATACAGCCAAAGGATACTAATAAAAAATATATATTTAAACTCTTGCATTTGATACAGGCTTTTCTGTTACATGTTTAAAACCATGCCCTGTTCAGCAGCCTATTTTAAAGCAGAAGTACCAAGCCATTTCAGCTGTGCAGGCCATGAGAGATTTGCATTAAAAATGGATTGTTGGACTCCTTTTCTGGTGGTAGGGACCTGTCTTTCTCAGCAGAGTACACCTGCAGAGCAGGAAATGTCAGTGTGCATTTTCTATTGCAAATAGATAATTCCTTTTCTTTACAGATGGCAATAGCTCAAATACCACCCACTTGGGCCCATTAACAGCAGGCCTAGAGATTCCAGCCTTGACCACCCCGAAGTCTAACTTCTCAAATCCTTCATTCCAACTTCAGCCTCCTACTATGAATAAAAAAAAAATATCTCAAAGAGGACCCTGCAGACATGCAGTCTTAATGATTTCCAGTACTATTTTCAAGTGCAATAAGGTTTAGAGTTAGCAGTTTAGACATAAATAGACAACAAATTAAAATTACTACCCACCTATGATTTTAGAGCTTGTTTTATCCAGCTACCTCTTTACTGAGCATCATATTATTGAAAAGATGAAAGTCTGTGTGATCTTCCGACCATTTTTGGCTAAATATTTTGAGAATAATGGCTATGACAAGATTTTGTTTAAATCAAAACTCACACTCATAAGAAGGTAGCTTGATGACTCTAATTCAAAACAAGTATTTTATAGCACAATTCCAAACAGATTTTTTAAGTCTGATCCTACAATATGTGGACATTTTCTGCAGCTCTTATTTTTATTTTATCCACGTCCAGTCTGATGTTACCACAGAACATTTTCTGGAATAGTATACTAAAAAGCTCACTTGTATTAAATTTATCCTTCAGGCTCAAAGTTTCATGGCACAAAGATGGAAAAAATGGAACCCAAAGAAAACTAAGTTGCATTCTAAACAAGGAAGATTTCCTAATAATAAAAAATCCATAACTCACAAAATCAGACTTAAACGTGTCCAGGATTAGTGCAGATGTTTTAATGCATCATTTAACTAAAGCAGCAAAATAGAATGACATATTTGAAGCCATTAAACATTACTGGACCCAGAACAGGCTAAACAATTTTTAACAATGATGTAACATGAGAAACAGTTATGAAGTCAGAAAACACCAGCTGAATTGTAAAACACACTGCTCTAAGTTGTATACTTAGATGAAAGTACAGAAACCACCTTCACACAACACTCAAAAGCAGGAAATCAACCTTGCACTTAAAAGATGTTGCACAATGTATTTGCTGTAACCTGATGACCCAAAACAGCATTAAAAGGCAAAGGTCATGCCAGCCTCACCTCCTCTACCTTTTCTAAGTAGCAAACTAAACACAACTTTAGCCAAACTCTAGTGCTATAGTGAAATGTCTGTGGCACTCCATTCCCCATTCCCAGTGGGAGAAACAACCAGTCCATGTCCCCAGGTGTTTCCCGATACCACTTCAGGGCTGCTGCCACCTTTCTATGTAACTGAAATAAATCAAACTTTTCCAAAAGGAATTGTAGCTTGGATACAGAGAACATAACTACAACATCACACCTTATCTCAACAGAAAGCACACAGAGAACAGTGGTAGAATATGCCAACTTACCTTAAAAAAGTGTGGAGATCAAGTAACCCAGAACATTAAGTTGGAAAGCAAAGGCTGGGCATGCTGAGTTCAATTTTGTTATTGATCTGGATAGACACCTTTACAAGTGTTTCACCATTGTGATATATAAAGTGGATATAAATTACATGGGTTTCCTGATGGAGACTTTGTGAAAAAGGACATATTATAAAATTTTATAAAAAAAAGCAAGAATTATGGAAAGTAGATTGAAAACAAAAGCAAACACACAGCTCATTTACACATGCTGGAAATTTATTCTTTGAAGCAATACATCTGGTAGATAGATTCGTCATTAACAAATAGGAGCAGATCTTAAATTCTGCCCGAGAGAAGCATATATTAAATTCTGCCTGAGGAAATACCTCACCTTAACATCACAAAAATGAAAGCACTCAAGCAATTCAAGTCATCCCAAGTATTCCGTTAACACTGAGCCAAAAGAATTTCTGGGCTAAGTCCCCTGAAGACAGCTAGTACACCAGGGATAAACTGATGTATTCTTTATTATAAGGCCATTAAGTAGGCCTGTTGCCAATATACAAACACAAATGATATGAACATATCTACAGAGCTCTGTATCTTTCATCCCGTTCTTGGCCAGACATATCTCTACACATACTCATAAAACATGCTTCTAATATTCTCAGAAGTATTCCTGATTTCTTTTTTTCAGAATGTTATGAGCTGTTTGTCACATTTTGGGTTTGGAGAGTTCTCCTAAATTATCTTGCTGTCCAATCCAAACTCATGTCAGTCACTGGTTTTACTAATTTTTAATTTTTAAAGGGCCATGGGAGTAATATATAATTCTACTCAGCAATGAGGGAGGGTTTCCAACTCTTAAACTTCAATTACACCCTTCATACATAGGATGGCATTTACCTTGTGAAAATACAGTGCCTATGTATGTTCATACAGCCATACATCATGTATGCACCCTGTTTTCTACCAAGAGTATAACAATAGAGCAATAGTGGTCAGTACACCAAATAGTGTGTTAGCAGGTGGATACGTACAGTCTGTTGGAAAAGCACTAGAATGACTTTTGCGGTGAGGAATCCTACTCCAGAAGAGTCTTGCAAAACAGTGTGTGGGCAAGAGACACATAGGGGCTTCAACACAGACAGCCATGGTAGAATACCTCCAGGAAAAACAACCTAAAACACATCTGTCCAATCCAATGGACTGGACATAGGAAAGAGGTCTTGGGGTCATTGATGATATTTCTCTGAAATTATCAGAATCTGGTGAGTTGTGATCAAGATTTACTGTGAAGGCATGGATAAGATGAACATGGAGTATTTATTAACCAAATCCTTGAAGCTAGAAGGAAGCAATACTGAAGGAAGCTACTCAGGACTTTTCAAAAGATAGAAGAAGGTAATTTTTGTAAAGCCATGGTTTTCTGGAGCTCACTTCCATGCTGGCTGTGGAGCTGGAGAGTGTCATCCTGTCTATAAGGAGCTCTGGCTAACTCACACAGAAAGATCCATAAATGGACACAAATGGAACCAGGAAGAGCTGGACCCTAATACAACTGTAGATGCTGAGAAGCTGCAGAATGTGGCCAGGTCTAAATGCTCTCTCTCCTCTGTCACTCTGACAGAGTAGTTATCTTAATGAACTACTGATCCAACTGGTATGGAATTACCTTCTGCTTTTTAAATGTCTGTTATGTTTTATCAGATTAATTTTAATATTTATGAACCATAAATCACTACAGTCATATTTCACTTAAAATTAAAACAACTGCTGGGACCTAATGGGCATTATGTAATATAGAAATCCCTTTGAAGGAAAAGCTTCTACTTGGGCCAAGAATTGTGTCTTCAGACATTATTAAGTTTATTAACTTGCTAAGTATGGAATTTATCTTGATTTTCCATGTGGATGGGTTTGTGAATCAGGAAAGTGTCATTATTCAGAGATTAATACCATTGCAGAGCAGGGCAGTCACTTCTCAAATTTCTCTCAGGACAAGATGGTATGGAGTCAGGAAATGTGACACCAGAGGCTAACACATGATACTGTGAGCTTTCCCTTACCTATTTTTACATTACGGGCATTGGAAAACATTTAATGTTCAGTTCCAAATTATCAAAACCAAATTCAGTAAAAACAAAACAAAATACCCCAACAATTACTGGTGGCTGATTTTAAGCTGAGGGGTTAAAAAAAAATCAAATGTATCAATTCTGTCAGGTAGCTGTAGATACATTGATTTTTCAGTGTATTTAGGAGTAACTGGAGAAATGAAGTATTTCAGTAGTGACTCATGTTGATTTCCTACATTTATGTTGGAAATTGGATATTTTTAAGGATTTTTGTACCCCTTGTATCTTTAAATCATGCCTTCTAAACTGCTCTATTATATCAGATACCTTTCAGCATAGCTATAATGTAAAAGACTGCCAGGATCCAGGACTGCAGAATCACGTCACACTGAGTTAAGATTTTCAGTGACCTGAGGCATCGGTACAGTGCCTTCTCACAGTACCAGATACAGAAATGGCTTTTACATATGCAGAGTAATATTTTCTGGACCAGGATCTGCTTGTAGAAAAGGAAACAGATAAGCATCCATTGCCTGCAACAGGGACTTTCCTGGGTCTTCCATTCACAGCAAACACAACCATTCATTTTTTTGATATTTTTCTACCCTTATTAGTTTGTTTTCAACATTTTTCTTGTTCATGCTTTCAGCATTCTTCAGCAATTGGTCAGGAGCTTCTGCACAGACAACTTCTACTGATTGTACCTTGCTGCAGGAGGACACAGTCATACTATTCTGAAATTCTTCCTTCCCAGAAAGGGAGATAACAGATAATGAAATGAGATTAGAAGAAAGGCAGTTGTTATAAATGCCTATCTTGTTACTAGATTTACAACTTAACACCTAAAGGCCAAAAAAGATAAGACAAATAACAAGGGCCATCATATTAAATCTTGATAATAAATACAAATAAATTCTTAAATTCAGGAGGTTGAGTTATACTATAATGTAGTTGAGGTGTTAGGACATAAGTTGAACTTGATCTTAGAGGTCTCTTTCAACCTCATTATTCTGTTATTCTGTGATTCTGTATTAAATAAATAAATAAATATGAAAATATATCCCACCCCATTTCGAATTAACATATTGCTCTGGTTCAGTTTTTTGTTTTTACTTTTTATCTACGCCTTTTACGTGTTAAAACTGTCTTTTTTTTTTTTTTTCCTAGAGCAACGTGGCAATTTTGTTAACAAATACGGGCCTAGTGCTTAGAAAGCTGTAGGAAAAGACGGATTATGTCGGCTAAAGATCAAACATGCATAGAAACACTAAATAATTCATCACCAAGTCTGAAATCTTTGGGCAAACGAAAGGCGTCCGAGAAGCAGGTAACACAGCTCCCATTCCGCATACCTGCAGCTCACGGCCGGTGCCTGCGCTAACAGAGGGACTGAGCGAGAAGCCCGACAAGCCCATAGCGCAGAGCAACGCGCCCACCTCCCGGCGTTCTGGGCAGGTATCGCGGCAAGGTGGCCGGGAAGCAGCCCGCAGCATCAGCTGGAAGACCGTAGAGGCCCGCAGGGCTGCGGTGCGAGGCTCCCTGGGGCTGGAGCGGGAGCGGCCTGGGGATGCTGCCGCGGCCGGCGGGACCCACCTTGGGCATCCGGATGTGTTCCATGGCGGCAGCGCCCGCCGAGCTCCTCACGCACCGCCCGCCGCCGGCGGAGGCGCCCTGCGCACCTGCCCTCCCCGCCTTCCTCCGGCCCTGCTGCGGAAAAGATTTTTTTTTTTAATAATATATTTGCATTTTATGTTTTCCTGGCGTTTTCCGGCGCGGATGGGAAGGAAGAAGGGAGGGTTTATTGGCGGCAGAAGATGCGCCCGTGCGGCGATGCCGGCAGGTCAGCGGCTGGCTCCACCTCCCGCAGCTGCCATGCCGCCCCGGCCGCGGGGATGCTCCGCGCCCGCCGCTCCCGCACCGCCGCTCCCGCACCGCCGCTCCCGCACCGCCGCCCCGCGGGCACCGGCGCGCCGCCCGCACGGCCTGCTGGCTTAGCGAGCCGTACATCGCCCTGCCCTTTCTTCAGCGGAGATAAGATCCGGAGCATAAAGAGAGCTCTGTCCGAGATCGCCTCCCCCCATTTTGTTTGTTCCTTGGCCCAGCGTGTACAGTAGCTCAAAGACAAAAGCTGCACTTAGTGAAACTGAAGCACTGAATTTTGTTTATCTCAAGATCTGTGTGTCTGTAATTCACGACTTTGCTGCATCCTCAGATTTGCACAAGGGAATATTTTCTGTGACACAGTTCTCAGCTTTGTGCTAGAAATTCCTTCTCCCATCTTTTGCCTTACCTATTGCCAGAGATGTGTTTCCTCTTGGAGCAAAAAGAAATGACACTGAGATGATTTTCCCAGTTTACCAGTGTGAAGATAAAGAACAGGTATCTCTAACCATCTGTCATACACTGACCAGCTATCATATTCAGAGCAAAAAGAGAAACTTCTCAGTATTTACACCAATGTGCAAATGACTAGAGGTGCTAGTATATTATTTCAGATACACCTTAAATATAAAATGCCCAGGTATTCTATACTGATCAAGGTATTCCAGCAATTCTGGCTGGTCACAAGTAGGGACTAGCCTTATGAGGCACAGAAATAAATGTGGACGCCTGTCAAACAAACCCCACAAAGGCCACAGCAAGAGGAGTCTGCTTCAAAGCAACAGAAGCACTCCACATATCCTCTTCTTGCCTGCAGAAAAGAGAGCAAGCTTAATTTGTTTTGTGAAAGACAAAATATGGGTTGAAAATAACACAGGGGCACCAAAAACAGAAATGCATTTTACCCCAAGGGAAAGGGAACAACGGGTACAGCTGTACTGGTTCCAAAGTTTATCCAATCCTGCCAATCTCTTGCTAATGAATAGCTAGATGAAGGGTTTGTTCCTCCATTTCTTATCCACAAAACCCAGGGCATAAAGAGTTGCAGGTTTTGTTTGATTTTGGGGTTTTTTTTGCTTTTGTTTTGTTTTGTTTTTGGGTTTTTTGGGTGTTTTTTGTTTTGTTTTTTTTTTTTTAGTTTTTTGTTTGGGTTTTTTTGTTTGGTTTTTTTGTTTGTTTTTTTGGGGTTTTTGTTTGTTTGTTTTTTGTGGGATTTTTTGTTTGTTTTTGATTTTTTTTTATATCAACTCTTAGGTTAGAGGAGACAGAAGCTGTACTATTGTAAGTGGAAAATAAGTCACCCCTGGATTTGACCATTCTGCTTGCCACTCCCATTTTGGCCCATTTCTGCCCACCTTTCTCTCACAGTTCTGCTGCTGTTTGGATAGCATCCATGAATGTGCATAAAGTGTGGACTTCAGAAGACTCTTCATCAGTGGCATATTTTGATTCTCTATTTTAGGCCAGGGCATAAGAATCAATTAAGAATTAACCAACCATGGAATATGCTTCCTTTGTAGTTATGGCTGATGCGATTCACTGCATGTATATTTTGGCATTACCACCAGTGAGTAAAGTTGGAAGAAAATATATTTATCCTTTCAGTCCCCAGAGATGCTTTTACTCTGGTACATCTTGTGATTCATCACAGCCCACTTCAAGTCCTACAGTTGATGTCAGGAAAACTTTCAGATGCAAGTGACAATGCACTTTTAGTCTGCTTCACATTCATCAGTAGCTGCAAAACTAAAGCATTGCTGTTCAGATAGCAATCAGTTTCTCAACATCCTGACAGAGATTTCTGGCTTGTCTTGGGCTGATAAAATAGTTGACAGGCGAATGCAGCTGTAAACAGAACTTGGGTTTACATAAAAGTTACATCTAATGCAATTGTCATGGAAAGCTTCAGTAAACACAGCTTTCTAGAAATTCTCTTATATTTTTCATTTGCATTTCAGGCTCATGGAGACTGCTGCCTCAACAGTCTGGAAATTAAATCCTCTGTAAAGGTATAACCAGAAATAATTCTGCAGATTACTGCTCTGAGTTGACTAAGATGTAGGGGCAGGAAAATTAAATTGCCATACCTACATAGGTTTGTCCTATCTACTGAAACTGCCAATAAAGTTCTTAATTTATTTCCCATTAAGAAGGCCAATCACTGAGGACTAGAATCATACTGGTGTAATTATTTTCTACATCCATAAGTAACAGAGTCAGCTTTCAGCCTCATCCATTAAAACCTGAAGCACATTTCACTTCCAATATGTAAAAAATTTCTGTTATAGTCAGTGGAGTTACCCAAAAACTCAGACATTTTTCATATGACCTACCTGGCCTGTATTTGAACTATCATGTTAGATGTGGAAGGCTTTGTGGATTTATTTGTGTTTTGCGATTATATCTTACTTGTTTGAGGGTAGTTTCCTGTGGGCTGCATTTTAATACAATACAAAGTCAAAGATTACATTTAGGTACTTCTAAACTTCTAATACTTATTTAAAATTTTAATCTACAGATTTGTCAATTTAAATTAAATACTGTAGGCAAGAAAATAACTGAAAATTGGTAATGTAACAGCTTGGTTGCTGGGACTGCTTAGCCAGGGTGACAGAATCCTCCATCTGAAGAGTCTGGTATATGGGATGAAATGTGGAGATTGGGCTTAGCCCATGTTACTGTGGGCTGAAGACAAACAGTACTAGTTTGAGTGCAGCCCTTGGTTTGTGGATAAGGAATGGAGCTTAAAAAATCCAGCTTGACATTTCACCAAGAAAATGCTTTTGGACCCACTGATAGCAAAAAGTGGGGTTTGGGCATCAACTCTTTCTCATGCATATCATCATACAGGTCTTTGTACTTTATTTGTTGAAAATTACACACTAACCAAATAGGAATGTATCAAAGCCAACTGACTTTCTTATCAGTTTTCTTCTAATGAAAATATTCAGTAAGATGCATGGCAAAAGACATGCATGATAGAAAAAGGGAAACAGTACCACTTTTTACCATTAAATACAGTATATTAATAAATTTTCACACATAACATATCTACACCAGTAATATAAAAGAGCATTGTGTAACTTATAACTACTTTGTAGTTTCAAATTTTTTTTCTTCCACAATTTCACAGTACTTCTTTACTGGTTTAACCCCTTCATAAGATAAAAACCACCCCTATAATTTACAAGAATTATGGAATCCTTAAGTTTGGAAAAGACCTCTAGGATAATTGAGTCCAGCCATTAATCTGAACATGTTACCATTAAACATAATATCCAACATAAACCTTTTCTGGCACAGCTTGAGCCTATTTCCTTTCATCCTGTCACTTGCTGCCTGAGAGAAGAGACCAACCCTCACCTGGCTACAACTTCCTTTCAGGTAGCTGCACAGAATGACAAGGCCTCCCCTGAGCTTCCTTTTCTCCAGGATAAACAACTCCAACTCCCTCAATTGTGCTGCTCCTAATAAGATTTGTTCTTGTTATTTCCTTTTGTCAGGGTTTTTCATGCCAGCTGTCAAATGATAAAGATTAATTCTATTGGAACATGTTTACACCCTAGATAATAAGTACCACAGATTCAGAAACAGTGTGTCTGTTTATATTTGTTTCATAACTTTTGACCTTTTTTGGGAGAACATGCAACCTTCTCCTGGCAAATGAACCTGTACACACAGACTTCACCTCCAGTTAATATAGCAGGAACTGCATGTATGAGGTAAAGGATGTGAGGAGCTGTTTATTGTTTAACTTGACTGTTACTAGGCTTGACCTTTTAACTTGTCCTTCAAGAATGGCTCAAAGTCTTTGATTTGGCCTTGTTATAAAACATTGTTACATTGTTATAAAAGCAAAATTTTTTGCAGGAAAAGTACCAGTCAAACTCTGGAAATTGGAATGGTTTTGATGCTATTCTACAGATAAACAAACTGACATTTACATCATATAACATATACCATGTAATATTGTGATACATGATATATGATGGATCACAGATGATATCTGTCCAGGTTTGTGATAACTGTCCAGAAATGCATCATAGAGAAAAAAAATAGACAAAATTCTAGAATTACTCCTGTTACTTACATGAGGATTTCACATACTGAAGAAACAGGTACGATTATGCCAAAGTGATAACTCTTGATCAAAGAGCATTTCAACAAGATTAGAATACTCAATCCTGTTGCTCTGAAATGCCGCATTTTTTCATAACAAAGCATGTCAGCACAACAAGCTGGAGATATAGTGGGGGAAGGTCAGTCATGATGTCCTGGAGCTCATATTTGTCATATCACACACAGCAGTTACAGAAAACCTTAGCACTTGCAGGAAGAGGTCAGTCAGTTATTACAACATGGATTGTAGGGGCAAAAAGAGAAGTGCTTCTCAATTCAGCCAGTAGACAAACAGACTCTTCCACAAGATGATTTAAAGCTCCTAAATTCTTGAAATGGTAAAATACTGCTTAGAGATTTGCCTCCAAACTGTAGCATCTGTCATATGCTGACAACCTTTACACTAGCTTGTCCTGAAATTTAGACAGGAAATACTCCCTCACGTGATACTAGAAAATCAAAATAACTTTAAAAAGAAGGTATATATTGTTAAAAATGCCTTTATCCTAGACCATTTCCATTGAAACATTCAGTCAGAGGCTCAGCAACAACTCAGGAGAAGAAAACAAAGATACAGAGTTGAAAGCAGGCTGCAACTGTGTGTAGTCTGAAGCAGTATTGCTCAATGAAAAATAACATCACGACAGCAAGGCAGCTTCCAACACTTTCACAAAGAAGATTTTCTTAACTTATGGGACCATAATAATGCCTAGAGCATTTTCCCCAACATGAAGAAAAAGATATGGACATGGTATATTTGGACTTAGGGAAAAAAGACTAGAGAAGAAAGAAAAAGTGGATAACAAAGGAAATTTATTCCCTGGCCTTTGTATAAGAATTAGTTAAAGCTATGTTTAAAATCCTGAAGAGTTTCTCTTGAAGCTCCTCATTGACCTAAGATGATCAGAATTCAGTGAAGGAATTGTCTTTTATGGTCATGATTATGCATGAGGGTGTAATAGTTGTAAATTAATTTTGATTACTTTCCAAAGTAATGCTGTATAAAGTGAAATTTTAAAACAGGCACAGTTGTTTCCCAAAATATACAATAAAACCCTCAC